CATTTCACTAGAAGTATGTCATAATTATCCCTTGACATGAGAAATGGTAATTTTTATTAATGAATAAATAAAAGACACATAAATAGTCAGCTCTATAATATCAAACGTTCCCTCGGGCAAGAAATCAACAGAATTTATTGAATGAATTTTTTGTGAAACGTTTAACTACTTGTAAGTAATATAATTTCAATGAATAAATTTGGTCACGATTAAAAATATACGGATCACTAATTGCGTCAACCCAAACATAAGTTTTGCTCAAGGGGAATTCTTGAACTGCATCTGTGTAGTGAACAAAAATCTCATTAGAAGAGTTTTTATCTTTTTTTACATCAGTAATTCCTGTTACTTTGCTCATAACGATCAGCTGAAGGATAAATTATCACTCAGAAGACAATATTTAATCAGTTATCAGCAGCTTCACTCCGGTTTGTCAGTTGAGTAATGACACTGTCCTTCAAACACTTCAGTGCACGAATCCATATATAGTCCGCTGTCTCTATTCGCAAAGTGTTTTCAGGAGTAGGTCAACAGGAGCAGTATTTCACAGTATTAAATTACATCAGCTTGATTGCTGTATTATTTAACCTAAATTAAGATGCATTTTTCTTAACCACTCATTAATTTTCGATGGACGTTTGATTCCTGATATTATTTAAAAAGTTGTGTATTTAGTGTACATTATATATGACTTGACAGTTCTTAATTTTTCGAAGAAGCCTATAAAGGCTCTATAAAATCACTTTTTCATTCAGAAGAAATACAGAATTTACCTCTTAGCCTCAATTATTAAGGTAAATCATCTTCTTGGCTTATTATCGAAATTTTAGCTTCTTCAAAACGAGATTCACATTACAACCTCAAATTAGTAATCGGATAATTGTATTATATGATTAATAACTCTTATAAATCAAGTGACATATGTCTAGAATCACCATCATGATAATATTTCGGTGCTTTATAGCACAGGGTGCTTCTTATTCTGCAATGGAGCTTTGATTCACAATCAAAATAAACAATTCCAGTCAATACAAGCAATTCAATCCAAGGAGGCACATGGAGGGATTTTCAAAAATGGATGTTACACCGGGCCGCTAAATGTCTCCATACAACGCGAAGTTACTTCGATGAATTTGGTCTCATTTTGTAGCACATTATATACTTGAGGAATGAGTACGACTGACAACAGTACGCCATCCCGACCTCCTGCATGGATATAACAAGGAAATTAATTCCAACCTTCTAGGAGACATACATTACGTATATCCCTCCTAACTAATTCGTTATTCGTACGAACAGTTACCGTCGAAACCTTTTTGTCGTTATCGGTTTCGGAGCCTTCATCTACTCCTGAAGGCCACTTTCCATGTGTCGCAACGTCCGAAGCCACGATTACTACATCTCTTTTCTGAAAATTGCGACGTTCAACTAACAATTTTTGACGTGTTTTCAGGGACGGCAAATATTATCTTAACCACCTTTTCTAAAACACATTAGATAGATAAATAGCCTGTGAGTCGTAATTATCTCTGATGCTACCTTCTCCGATGATTCCGTCACATTCTCTCAATAACAGCAAACTATTTGGCGATAAAGCAAGTTTTTTGTTAGCATCTTGAACAGCTGGGGTTAAGAGTCGGTCGTATAATATCCTCCCGATTTCAACCAAATAAGTGCCCAAGGTCTCATCAGTACAACGTTCGTTCTCTGGTGAAAAATAATAACAGCCGTCGTATGGATCTAATCATCCGTTCCCAAACTCCTACTCTGTGGCTAGATGCGGAGGGTTGAGGTACAAATGAATTTGCCTCACCGAAAACTCATTACTTATTTTCTACCGATTCAAATGTTGCACAAATCTCCACAGTTCAGAAACGTGGATGCACTGGATAGCCGTTTAGTCCTGTTATGGAACTTGTCAGCAGTGCGCATCCACAACTTCTGCCACTCGATGAAATCGTACCCAGGACTTTCGGTCTTGCGCGCCTAACATCTGAACCACTGAGCCAGCATTCAACGGTGTCAATGTCTAACTTTGATCAGTCTAAGGATTTTGCGCAACCTCACCTATGATCTCAAATAGGTAACTGCCTACGTCCTACATGTTTGAACTTCACTGGTCACATCTTACTACAAATCAGAGGAACGTCCACAGAAATCGTTACTGTTTACTATTTTATTTGGAAATATTTCAGAATATTGATCGGTACTTTTACAGTTTATATCATCAGTATCATATTTCATAAAAAAACTGAACTCTTTCTCTTCTTAGCGCCCATATAGATCGATCAGGTAGATTGATGTGTGTCGTCCATCTCATCAATTCCAATAAAATGTGGTATGTTTTTTTTTATTTGACCAATTAACTGACTGAGCATTTTCCATTCCCTTCTTTTAATTACATAATTAATTTTAGTTCTAAACATTCATTTACAATAAATCAAATTGAAAAATTACATGAAACTCTTCTTCTTTGGTATGATCAATATAAACGTGATCTACCATGGCGTCAAATGGTGGTAAGTCATTAGTGCTTATTGTCAGTTATTATTATTATTAATTATTTCTTATAGGCCGAAAATCTTGATGCAAATTTACGTGGTTATGCTGGTATATTTATTATTATTTAGATAATAATTGTCTTCATATCTTTATTCCGTTTTGGATATCTGAAGTGATGCTTAAACAAACTCAAGTGAATACAGCCATTGATTATGATAATCGATGGATGAAAGTTTGGTAATTGTTGTTGTTGTAGTTGAATGGATCATTATTTTTTATCAGATAGAAATGGCCTAGTGTAGATGGATTAGCTTTCGCTACGTTAGATGTAAGTGTGGATTGACTACCGATTATTGCGCTAAATTTATATTCAGAATTTACTAGAATTAAAAAAATATGAAAACCTAGCACGAATTCATGAAGTCACCACTGACAACTGAAGTGAATCATGTTTGATGATCGATGTAGACAAAATAATTGGTTTTAAATTTGTCGATCGTGAGGTTCTATGGCAGTGTCTGTCATTAAAAGGTGTACCAAAAAAGTACATTAACCTTATACAAGCTCTCTACTCGAACACTACTGGTTGAGTTAGAGTTTATGGTGAAATATCATAGGAATTCTTTAGTTCAAGTGGTGTCCGACAGGGCTATCCATTCTCTCCATTCTTGTTCAAATTTGTCGTAGAAATCCTTTAAGAGTTGGCATTATCCTCGTCAGATTTTTCAGGAGTGAACCTTCTATCAGGAGGATCCTTTACTGACCTAGAATATGCCGATGACATAGTTCTAGTCGGTGAAGATGCAGTGACAAAATGCAGTCTTCTGACCACCCTAAGCAACAATGCAAGCATGTTCGGGATGCGGTTCTAACCCTCGAAATGCAAAATGTTGATTCAAGATTGGGTTTCGTCGGTACCTGAACTAGTGATAGGGGGGGAAGCAGTCGAACGTGTCGTCCGCCTCACTTATCTCGACAGTCTGATCAGTGCTGATAGCCTGATGACTGACGAAATCTCAGCACGACTACAGAAAGCTCGATTGGATGTTGCCAAACTGCGTCATTTATGGTGTAGGCGAGATATCCGTTTGCTAACTAAAGGACGAGTGTACTGTCATTAATTTTTCATACAGAAATGGCCAAGTGTAGATCGATTAGCTTCGGCTACATTAGATGTAAGTGTGGATTTAGTACTGATTTTTGCAATATATTTATTTATATTAAGAATTTACTAGCATTAAAAAAATATATATATGAAAACCTAGCGCGAATTCATGAAGTCACCACTGACAACTGAAGTGAATCATGTTTGATGGTCAATGTAGACAGAATAATTGGTATTAAATTTGTCGATCGTGAGGTTCTGTGGCAGTGTCTGTCATTAAAAGGTGTACCAAAAATGTACATTAACCTTATACAAGCTCTCTACTCGAACACTACTGGTTGAGTTAGAGTTTATGGTGAAATATCATAGGAATTCTTTAGTTCAAGTGGTGTCCGACAGGGCTATCCATTCTCTCCATTCTTGTTCAAATTTGTCGTAGAAATCCTTTAAGAGTTGGCATTATCCTCGTCAGATTTTTCAGGAGTGAACCTTCTATCAGGAGGATCGTTTACTGACCTAGAATATGCCGATGACATAGTCCTACTTGGTGAAGATGCAGTGACAAAATGCAGAGTCTTCTGACTACCCTAAGCAACAATGGAAGCATGTTCGGGATGCGGTTCCCACCCTCGAAATGCAAAATGTTGATTCAAGATTGGGTTTCATCGGTACCTAGACTCGTGAAAGGGAGTGAAGTAGTCGAACGTATCGGCCGCCTCACTTATCTCGGGAGTCTGATCAGTGCTGATAGCCTGATGACTGACGAAATCTCAGCACGGATACAGAAGGCTCGATTGGCTTTTGCCAAACTGCGTCATTTATGGTGTAGGCGAGATATCCGTTTGCTAACTAAAGGACGAGTGTACTGTCATTAATTTTTCATACAGAAATGGCCAAGTGTAGATCGATTAGCTTCGGCTACATTAGATGTAAGTGTGGATTTAGTACTGATTTTTGCAATATATTTATTTATATTAAGAATTTACTAGCATTAAAAAATATATATATATGAAAACCTAGCACGAATTCATGAAGTCACCACTGACAAAAGAAAAAAAGGGATCAATACAAATTTACAAACGATGCATTTTATTTCCTCCAAACTATAAAAAAAAATTACTGTACATTTTCTGATCATGTACCAAATTATTTAAATACACCTAATCTTTTCAACAGAATACAAAATGTACAAGTTAATAATTCAAAAATGAAATTGTCAAGAAGAATTCAATAAATGCGATCAGAGAGAAAAGAAACAATACACCTTAAAAAGAGATGAAGAAAAATATCTTTTTTTTCCTCATGAAAATAAATAGGAAATAATTATATTTATTACCGTTACTACTAGTAATGAATATCAGTAGTAAAAAAGTACAAAGCGAAAAAAAGACAGTCAGTGAAAGAAATCATCTAATTTCGGTTGTTTCACATCATTTACAATGGATGACGATTTATGCAGGGCAGTTCGTTTGGTTTTACGTGGATTTTTGTTAATCTACAAAAAGTATTTAATTAATAAAACATGTGATTATCCAAATATAACATTGAATGAATCGACAGATACAACGCAGAACGTCGTACGTAAGTACATCAGTTCAGGTTGCCATGCTCCATCAGCACACAGACGCAACTGTCAGTTCAAATCCAAGAGTGATAGCAATAATAGAAGTATTAACAGTAATGGAGAAGAATAGGGAGTGAAGATATGATTCGAGAAGTATAATTCAGTAAGATAAATTTAGAAGGAGAAAGTTAGAGATTATGAGGAATTCAGAAGGTTAGAGTTTGAGAGAACACAAAGAGTGAATGCACCTGTGCCATTGCAAACGATTTTGAGCCATGTCGTTCAAGGTCTCTAAGCATTGGTGACTTTCGTCTCGCGGATCCCACCCACGTAGCCTACACCTACTAACATGACTCAGTCCACTCGTCAGTGACTTCATGCATCTCTGCCCTATTTCGATCTGGCCGCCCCTAGATTTCGTTCAACCTATTCCTACACCACAAAATATAGCTCAACGAGACAGTCGGTCGTTAGGCATTCATAACATATGTCCCAACCACCTCAATTGATGTAGTTTCACTACTTCATCTACTGATCTGCCAGCCTTACCTAGTACTCGTTTCCTAACGACAGCATTGCTTATACGATTGTCCCATGAAACGTTGAAAGAAAAGCATAGAATAATTGTGATAGGTGAAATATTGGTTTAGAATAGTTTGTTGTTATGATACGCTACTGCTGAGATTCGATTTTGATATACAAGCTAGAACCACTAACTGGTTAGTTGAGTGAAATAGCAAGAAATAGTCTATATTGGTTACTGAATCCTATACATGTCCGTTGGGCATATGCTAGATATCTGTTTGCTAACCAAAGGACGAGTTTATCGTGCAACAGTTCGCTCCGTCCAACTGTATGAGTGTGCAACATTCCCAGTAAGAGTAGAAAATATTCGTAGATTGATGCTTTTCGATCATAGTGACTTTAAAACTATTGCTTGTATATTCTTGGGCTATCGAGTAACCAAAAGTGGTGTTAGGAAAAAAGGTACTGCGTAACGATGGGAAATCAGTGTTCATCAGTTGAGGTGGTTAGGACGTGTTAGGACATATGCTTAACCTCCGACTACTTCGACAGGCGCTGTTTTCTAGTGTAGAGGTAGATTGGAAGAAAGCTAGGTGGGGACACACCAAAATATTGCACAAATCCATGAAGTCAGTGACAACTGTACTGAGTCATGTTGGTAAATGTAGGCTACCTGGTGGGGGTCTGAGAGATGATAATAACCGTTGGTCAGAGACCTTGAATGACATGACTAGAAATCGTTTGCAATAGTGTAGGTGCACTCATTGTTTTTGTTCTCTTAAACTCTAATCTTCTGAATTCCTCGTGATCGTTCTTTACTTTTTTTAATTGGTTTCTCCGGGACATACGTATTGAAGAATATCTTCGAAACCAAAATTTTTTGATTTTGAATACTTCTACTACCCTCTACTACTATGGGATTTCAAAAGACAATTTGGTCCCTATGAGCTAACGTAGTATAGCAACTTGAGCTGATGTACAAAGTTCTACGTTGTTGCTTGCTGATTAAGTAGACAGTAAACGAATTATTGAATTTGTGAATGCGTTGGGATATTTTCCAAGTGCCCAAAAGCGAATCAAATTGTTTTTTTTATAGTATTACTACATGAGCCTTTTACCTACCTACATGTTTGATCTACAAGGCGGTATGCAACGTTAGGAGATACTGTCTTATAACAGACAGTCATCAACTACAGGTTTCATCAAGATCATGAAGTTTATGTGCACCATTGGTGCTAGTTTGAAACCAGGGTTTTCTTACTCTCTAAGGTAGATACTCCGTACTCACCAACCAAGTATAAATGTCTGACATTCAGCTTTCGTCTTTCTATCTTCTCAAATAACAATTACTCTATGTTTAGCCATATTCAGAGCATTTCAAGAGGCAGAGAACTCTCCACGTTCCCAGCCGTATCTGGGCCTAAACGGGTCCCTTAGAATGTGCACGCTTATTCAGCCATTGCTTAAACACGAGTATGAAGATTGAGGAAATAGTTTTAGACTGATTTTCAACTAAACTACCTTGATAACAAAAATAAACTATGAGGAGAAAACATAATCTCTTCTATATTTTAACAGAAATAAAGTTATATTCCTCAGTTTATTGATGAAAGGCGCAATTTAATCATGAATCAATAGACTTACTTTAGAGTCAGATGTTTTGGAGTAATTTTCAAAATGACTGAATATCTGTAAATGATAAATAATAATGTAAATACAAGATAAGTGTATTTTATGTCATCAAAACTTGTGAGTAACAGTTATTAACGGCTTATCAACAAATTCTACTTGCAGCTCCTCAGAGGGGTTACTGCCGATCCCAAACCCAGTTAAACGAGTAGGGTTATGCATGGATCCCATTCCGTAGAAATGCAACTCACAAAAAAGGCTAACCAGGAAAATAATTCGCTGGTCGGTGGGCCACTGTTCCATTATGGGTAAAAAAAGTAAGTAAGTAAGTAAGTAAGTAAGAAACCTAGAAGCACTCACTATACGACCGTTTCGTTAGACATTAAAATAGTTGCTCACAGGCTCAACAGTCGAAAACGTTAAGCTTTCTCGCGTGACACACCAAACCTCCTAAGTTCGATTCTCACTGGCGTAGTCGTACACATAAACTGCTATTATTTACCTACTTACACCTACTACACTTAGTGAAGCGTTGGCCACCGACCAGCATTCTACGAACTACTCAGTCACGGGCTTTCCTTTACAATTCTGTCCAATTGTTGTTCATTCTTCTCCTGTCTGTCTCCATTCTCGTCTTAACGTGTTCCTTGGCCGTCCACCTTTCCTTTGACCTTGAGGGTTTCAGGTGACAGCTTGCCTTGTAAGGCAGTTGGATGATTTTCCTACACATTTACAGCGCATCTGCCTGTTTCTTTTCGTCTGCTGGAATCTGGTTTGTTCTCTCACAGTAGGTTGTTGCTGATGGTGTAGATAACTGTTAATAAAAACTTGTATCTTGTGGATTATGGATTTTGTAGTTTTCCAATTTTCCGCTCCAAAAAGTAGAAATGTCTTGAACATTTGTATTGAGAATTCTGACTTCGGTTATGGAACATGTCCTCAAGTGGCTTCAAAATCAGTTAACTTCAGATGATCCGATAAACGTTGGGATCAGAAAACCATGTTCATCGATCGCAAAACACACTAGATCAACATCAAGACAACCTTCAAAACATTGTATAGAAATGTTGAAGGACGAATTTTGAGGTTTACGCAAGCGTTGGCTATTTGTATATTAAAACCTCCCTTATGCGTGTAGAAACAATTTGCTATAACCTTGAATTTACCCTGGTAATCTTTAAGCCATTTTACGGCCTAGTTGATAATGTGACACTTTCCTACCCTTTCTTATTCTTTCTATAAGACGTTAATTTTCTCTCTTCCCTTCATTTACAGTAATCACCTTAAGTGTATTTGAACTTTTATTTACAAGTGACCTTTTATTAGTTTTCATATATATAAAATAATACCTTGACAAGTGTAGATGTGTGTGACCAGATAGCGCAAAACACACTTTCGGAACAATTACCTGTAACCATTTTTTTTGTCCGAGTTACTATTCACACATCTTTCGAGCTAGTCAATTATTCGCTTATGACCTTGGATGTTTATACTTGAGTACATGTATATGTGCGTGTGTGCACTGGTTACCTTGCTTATCACATGTCTCATCATGTTACGTTAGCCCATTAGCCTTCTCCGCTTTGCTTTACATTTACGTTTCACATTCTTTTATCTGTCTGTAACACGCGACGACAGTAAGAAATTAATCCATTCACATAAAACAGTATTAATCACTTCTATCATGCAAACGGGGTCCGCGAGATGATAATAATCGATGGTTAGAGACCCTGAATGACATGGATCAAAACCGTTTTCAATGGTGCCGGTACATTTATTCTTTGTGTTATCTCAAATCCTAATCTTCTGGATTCTTCAACACCTCTATTTTGTCTTTCTAAACTTATCTCACTGAATCATACTTCTTGAATATTAGCTTCTAATACCAACCTCTCCGATTACTACTAATACCTTTACTACCTCTACTACTATTGGATTTGAATTGACAAATATATCTCTGTGCTGATTTGGTATGGCAACATGAAGTGATGTACTTACGTACGAAGTTCTACGTTGCATCTGACTGACTGACTATCATGCAAAACGAGCTTCGCCTAAGAACAAGATGAAAGATTCATTTCATTGCAGATTCAAATTGTTCGCCCGAAATTGGTGTCAGATGTCAGGCCACTAAAAATCATAGAATTTGTATATGAACTGTGATACTGTCCGGATCTCTAAACAGAATCAAGTGGTTTCACTAGAAGGATACTCACCAAACACCTTTGATGACCTACCTACCCACAAGACAGTGTAACAATCTTAGAAAATGCAGTTCCATGATGGCCAATGGCCAAAGATAGACTCACACACGTTAGATTTGCATACAGTTCAGTTCGCTTAGACTCCGGAAAATATAATTTTATATTCTAACTAGTGATTTGTTTAGTTAGTTCAATATCACATATTCATCTTTAATCAATGATCAATTGTAGTCTACAACATCTCGGGCAAGAAACTGGTCAAATCGAATTTCTTTTGAAACATAAAATTACTCATACATACAAACAAATAAATTTACTTTTCTAGTAGCAGTAGATATAGCTGAATCATTTAAATCTTCTCGACTAACCCAACGACCAGAATTTAAATTAGGCGGCCAATCCGAGTGCATTGTCAATTGGTGTTGTTGTTCAATTTTCAATGTGAATACAATATATGTCATGCGTATATGAGAGAAAATGTGTAACAACTGAAATAAAAAAATACGAAATAAAACGAAATGATCATTGAATGCAATACCAAAAAAGCCAAATATTATTAGTTCACAGATGAGATGTCATTGAAAATAGTGATTTAAATCAGAGATTAAATGGATGAATAATTTTACTGACAGCTCTGTTACCCATCTGCTATACATTGGCTGTCGACAAACAATTTTCAATCTACACGCTTAAAAATATCTGTTTCACAATTATGATAGATAATTTCAAGAATAATGTGTAGATGCAGGTGTTGTTTTTGTCAAAAATGTAGTTAGTAATTATTTTTTCTAATTGAAACAAATGTGAAAAAGTATTTATTTGGAGGATATAAGACGATTACATGTCAGTCAGTCAGTAAGATGTTACGTAAAACTTCGTACGTAAGTACATCAGTTCATGTTGCCATACCACATCAGCACAGAGATGTAATTGTCAATTCAAGTCCAATAGTAGTAGAGGTAGTAAAGGTATTAGAAGTAGTCGGAGAGGTTAAGATTAGAAGATATTATTCAAGAAGTGTGATTCAGTGAGATAAGTTTAGAAAAACAAAACTAGAAGCAATGAGCAATTCAGAAGATTAGAATTCCATGGAACACAGAATATATGCACCGGCGCCACTGCAAACGGTTTCGAGCCATGTCATTCAGGGTCTCTAACCATCGATTATTATCGTCTCGCGGACCCCAACCAGGTAGTCGACATGACTCAGTCGACTTGTCAATAACTTCATGGATTTGTGCCATGTTTCTGTCTGACCGCCCCTAACTTTCTTCCAACCTACTCCTACACCACAAAACAAAGCTCGTCGAGGCAGTCGGTGGTTAGACATAGGCAGCACATGTCCTAACCACCTCAACTGATGAAGTTTCACCACTTCATCGATTGATCTGCCATTCTTACCTAGTACCCGTTTCCTAATAACAGCATTGCTCACTCGGGTGTCCCACGATATACGAGCAATGCTTCGAAGACACCTATGATCGAAAACCAATAACCGACGAGTATCTTCTACTCTCATTGGCCATGTTTCACATCCATAAAGTAAGACGGAGAGAACCACTGCGCAGTACACTCGTCCTTTAGTCAGCAAACGGATATCTCGCCTACGCCATAGGTGACGCAGGTTGGCAAAAGCCAATCGAGCCTTCTGTATCCGTGCCAAGATTTCGTCAGACACCAGGCCATCAGCACTGATGAGACTCCCAAGATAAGTGAAGTGATCAACACGTTCGACCACTTCACTCCCTATCACTAGTTCAGGTGCCGATGAAACCCAATCTTGAAGCAACATTTTGCATTTCGAGGGGGAAAACCGCATCCCCAATATGCTTGCATTGTTGTTTAGGGTAGTCAGAAGACGCTGCATTTTGTCAGCGTCTTCACCAAGTAGGTCTATATCATCGATAAGCGAGCCTCCTGGTAATTGAAGTTACCATACAATATTAACACAGAAGGATGAAATTAACCGTTCATATCCCATATTAGTAAAAGTAGTTGCAAGATTATTGTTAATGAAAAAGATTAGTGATCGATGCTATGAATTGTGAATTTACAGACACTGAAGAAAAAAATATCAAAAGAGACTGAAAGTGATGGGGAACTTAGAGGCGCACTAATCCAAAGAAGACAAAAAATGGATGCACATGCGTCATAAAATACGATTTTGAGTCATGTCGTTCAAAATTTTTTAACTACTGATTATGATTGTCACATCGACTCCAACAAGGTGGTAGTCTACACTTATTTAATACGGCTCAGTCTAATTGTGTCAACGAATGCATTAGAACAACACATAAAAGCGACTAATATTACTGTTTTCGATTAGATCGTCATCAGGCTTTGCTCTACAATATACATGAATATTTATACAAAAATGTTTAACCAATCAAGGCAATTTGAGTCAATAATCACAATGAAATGAAATAGAGATTACGTCACTACACATAGAAGGCAAAAGTACAAGTTGATAGTAGGGAAGACAGAGGTGTACTGTGATAGTAGTAAGTAAAAATAAAATACGATAACAAAAGTTTGATCAATAGTAGGTTAAACGTGGATAAATAGACTTAGAATAATCATTACAAAACATCAAAACCATTACGTAAAAAACAGAAAGAGGCAGAGAATAACTAACAAATACCAGGATGTGAAAATAATACTAATAAAAACAAAATAAAATTTAAACCTAAAACCAACAAAAAAATTATAAATCTTAAACTGTTAGTTACGTCATATCCGGCCACGGAAGAGATAGAGGTGTCACGAATTTCTTCTAAACACATAAAGTAGGGTTGAATGTACGAATTCCTACGGCTTCCGCTTTATGTAGGAGATGGGATCGAACTCCGTTGGGAAATGATTGAGGTATACGATAGATCAGCCGAAAAGATCTAGACTTATCTACCATATGACCACTATCAACCAGGTATGCTAAGATCGAACTGCGTATTATTTTTGACTGATTCTTCTTCGACCATGCTGGGAGATGTTCAATCATTCGTTGGTTAAGTTGCCTTGTAGTACGCCTGATATAGCTATCTCCAAACGAGCAGCTGAATTTGTAAATGCACATAGAGGAGGCCAACTTATGCTTCGTTTGGGTAGACATCGCTGGTCGACTTGAGAAGGTCAACGCAAGTTTGGCTGCATTGAATGTTCTACTGATTGCTCTCATTATTCTGTCCTGCAGAGTATCGCAGGCCACATCTCCGTTGAATTGTAGTTTAATAAATAAATGCTCTTAAGGCAATAAGGCATTCAGAAGGTTAGAATTTGAGACAACACAATGAATGAATGCACCTGAGCGAACTGCTACGCAGTACAGTTGCCCTTTGGTTGTTATAGGTGACGCAGGTTGGCAAAAGCCAATCGAGATTTCTGTATTCGTGCTGAGATTTCGTCAGTCAACGGGTCGTCAGCACTGACGAGACTCCCGAGGTAAGTGAAGCGGTCTATGCGCTCGACTACTTCACTCCTTATCACTAGTTCAAGTGCAGATGTAACCCAATTTTGTAGCAACGTTTTGCATTTCGAGAGGGAAAACCTCGTCCCGAATATTATTGCATTTTTGCTTAGACTAGTGAGAAGATTCTGCATTTTTTCAGCGTCTTCACCGAATAGAACTATGTCATCGGGATATTCTAGGTCAATAAGCGATCCTCCTGGTAGAAGGCCCACCCCTGAAACATCTGACGATGATAATGTTAACTGTAAAAGTATATATACGACAAAGTTAAACAAGAATGGAGAGATAGTGAACAGCCCTGACGAACATCGCTTGAAGTAAAGAATTCGGATTAAATAACTAGAGTATTACATATTTATATTCCTCTTTGCTAGAAGCTCTTGATTTTGACCCATTAACTGACTGTATACATTTTGTTATTCCTAATCTAATATAGCCAGTTAATCATTCACACACTGCCACTATTCACAGCCACTTTTTGGCTTGCTCATGTATGATATGTATTGCCCCATTTTATGATGTGATATGGTCTAGTATATTGCTTGTTATATTAACCTGTATCTGCTAGAAATATGACGAAAAATTTTTGTAGAAGTTGGCTACAGACTTTTAGAATAAGTACGAGGAACAATAGAAAGGAAGAAGCTATTTTAAGTTATAGACCAAATAAGGATTCAAAGTTAAATTACGGTTTCTAATGCTACATTGTAATTTTAATTGGTGTTTTATATTTGTCACGTGGTATTGATCAACAATTAAGGATATATCGAAATCATAAGTCAATCATTGTCAAACAACAGTCTCTGTAACTCGATAATGAAAATCATAAAATGTGCTCAATAATGACTAGTTTCGTGGGAAAATTATCGGAGTTCTAGTGAGAAGTCGTGACCAGTGGAGTTCAGCACTGTCGGATGTAGGCAGTAACTAACGAAGACAATGGGTGACATCGCATGAAATCCCTAAATTGATCAAACTTGGACATTAAACCCCATTGGATGCCAGCTCAGTGGTCTAGATATTTAGCATTCGCACACAAAACCAAAGCACCTGAGTTCGATTCCCGCTTGCAGAATCGTGGATGAGCACTGCTTAGAAGTTTCATACGGCTGTCGTCCAGTGCTTCCATGTTTCTAGTGGTAATCTAACAGTGAGTGATTCACAATTCCCATGTAAAACACCCAATCTCCATAACTCTTTAATGAAAAGGATTAAAGATACAACAGACCATCAAACTTTAACCTTCAATTCGCGACAAATCTTTGTAATATTACGCAGTAAATTTGATTTAAAACAAACTATTACTTCCAGCAATTAATTAAAAATTCATCCCCACTTAAGACCATTTATTTGTTACATAACTGCAAAGACAAAAACTGTACATGGAGCCCATCTGAGGCTACAGTCGATCCCAAGCCCGGGTAAGGGAGGAGGGTTGGGCTTGGGGTTGACGACCTCATACCATAAAAACTAACTCGCTAAAAAAACACTAACCAGAAAAAAATTCAAACTATTTAAACTCTGTCCTGGGAGTTACTAGGCTTTTGTTTCGAACAGTTCTGACACTTCATGAAGAAAAAGCCGAGTTCCTTCGGAAGTCACGAGGCCGATGGCCCTTTTTTTACAACCACAGCAGCCATTCTTCTAGGTAAATGGAATGTTCAAATAATGTGGGAGACAGGAAGACTGTTCCAAAATGCTGCAGAAATGAAAAGACACAACTAGGAGATGCTTTGAATCAGTGAAAACACATTGGACACACATTGAACAACTTAGACTAGCTTCAGGAAAGCTGCTGTTATACCCCGACCATGAAAATAAAACAACAATGCTCTACATACACACAAGGATTTGCACCGATGGTACCCAAACAAGCACAAAATTCACTGATAGCATAGGAATCTCAAGGATCCAGGATCATCAAAGCATTCTTCGAAACAAAGAATGCACAACAATGGAACAGAACTAGAAAGGAAGATCAAAGACAGAATAGGTTGGAGAATACTAGTCGGTGGACTATGATCCATTGGGGGGGGGGGTAACAGGCATAAGTAAATAATGTACGACAAATAATACTGTGTTCATTGGAATTTAACTTTAAGAATGATAATGAAGTGAATATCATTGAAAAAGTTACGCAGTAGCACCGTTCGATGCTGGTACAGTGGTCAACAGCTGAAGTGTTCACGTGTGAGACCGAAGTGGTACTGTGTTCAATCCCCGTATTGCTTGATGATAAGCCGTCATACTAAAACGAAACACTCGTCCAACGATTCAAGGTTATTATTACTGGTCTGATATTCATCGATTCATGATTTCGACAAAACGCATCAATTTGTTTTCAACAGCAAACTAACCCCCCAAATGTATCAGTTCAAGACAAATGTATATTGTTATAAAAAAATATTCAAACTGGATGTGACAACTGGAAAAAATGTTTTAACCAAGAAAATAAATGAAATTCTATTAATGTGACGAAACACATTTTCACAATCAATAAGCCACTTTTTCAACAAACCAGTCTGTGAAGACACTCAGAGACATTCAAAGTTAACAGTTGATCACTTCAGTTATTCAGTTTCAATGTATTTAGCAATTTTTTTCTAAATCAATTAACGTTGTATATTGAAAGTAGATAACAGTTGAATATATTTAGCGAAGCAAGGACAGTATTGTTACGATTGAAGAACATCTGCAACTCAACGAACACCAATGTCACAATCTTTAATACAGACGTCATGACAGTTCTACTCTGCAGGGCAGTTCAGTAACTTGGAGAAAGATACAGATGTTTATTCACAGTGCTCTGCATAAGATACTGGTGATCTGTTGGCTAGACACTGTCAGCAACAACCTACCAGATTCCAGTAGACGAGGATATCGGAAAGAAGCGCTGGAGGTGGGACAGGACATCCATTGAGAAAGCCACCCAACTATGTCACAATACAAGCCCTCACTTAAAATCTCTATGGCCAGAAGAAAATAGCAAGACCAAAGAACATATTACGCAGAGAATCGGAAACAGGTATGAAAAAGAACGAGCAGCCATTGGTCAGAACTAAAAAAACAACACGCAGGATAACATAATTTGGAGAATGCTTGTCAGCGCACAATGCACCACATTTATGGAGTAACAAACACAAGTAAGTATGAAAGTAAGACTCATAATTCGCCTCATGAATTGTTAAAAATAAAAAAAAATTGCTATGAAAAAAATGGATCGAAGTAAAGTGGGAGAAAATGAATGATACCTACCTCTCCAATAGACTTCATATTCATCAATTCCACTATTGAAGTTAGCTGATTCAATGAACAATTCAACGCATTTGCAATTCGATCCAAAATTAAAGAAATAAATGCCGATTGATTTTCATTGGTTAAATTATCATTTTCAATGGTATAACTTGGAAATTCCCATAAACCAGCTAACAGGCCTGTGAATATGAAATCGCAAAATTCAAAGAGCATGTTAATTTGTTTAAGCTTATAATTGTTATCACTGAATGAATATAAAACAGATAAATTAGACCAATCATTAGAAACTTGGAATCACTGGACGACGGCCATCTCGTCCTGGTATGGGACTGATCAGCAGTGTGCATTCGCGGCTCCTACTACAACTCATAGGATTCGAACCTAGGACAATTGAATGTTGGATGCCGGCTCAGTGATCTAGAGGTTAGTCATTCGCGCACATGACCGAAAGTCCTGGGTACGAATCCTGCGAGTTATAGGATGCACACTGCTGATGAGCCTCATACCTGGACAAAACATCCATCGTCCAATGCTTCTAGATTCCCAATGGTGATTTAACAATGAGCGATTCATGATTTCAAAAAGTAACTCAATAACCTCTACAACACTCTCATACAGACGTATTCGATGAGTTATACAAAATCTCCAGAAATAATCCCTACTCACTGTTGAGGACATTAGATCCCCAGAACTCACTTGAAAATAAAGGTCTTAATTATGTAATTTTATCTTGAAATTTTGAATTTTATGTTTTTACGCTAAAGAAGCTTATGCTGACATTCAGAATGTAGTTACCACTCCGAAATTCTTGACTTGTAAATGAATTATTTTAATACGCTATTTTGTGGCTCTGAGCAAGAGCGCTTTATCATTGTATAAATAAGCTTGAGTTGTGTGCTCGTTAACCTCGCATTTTCTGGGTGCCTGTGGAATACATTTCTCTACGTCTTATATCAAGATTTGTTCCTCTAGTTAGTGGCGCCTGGAACGATCGGATTAGAGTAGCATGTCATGTCACTGAATCATTGATTTTCGTTCCGTAAGGTGAACTTGCAATAGTTCGAGCATGTCACTCATAATGACAAGGGTTGACTTATTTTGTATACACATGAATTGCTATTCAAACACATGAACATTAGTCGGAAGGGACATCTAAATATTTATTTATGCCCCACAGAAGTTATTGAATTTGAATTGAAGTCATCTCGCTGTAGACAGTCACCAACAAGTTTATGCCATATTCATTCCTTCAAGATCCTGTGGTTTATGTGCACTGCCAATATTGGTTTGAATACAGAGTTGTACAACTCCTCTAGTTCGATCCTCCGTATCGATGAAACCGATTTAAGCCCTTGTCAAACATATTCACTTCGTATCCTCTAAATTTTATTGTCAGCAATTAGTTCGTTTCTGATAAATTTCAACTAAATAATCAAAAGATGTAATTGTTTCGAAAATAGTTGATGCATTTACGCAATAACATTTCGAACAATCTAGTAATTATACACACAAACACTTGTCAAGGCATTTGAATATGAAAATTACTAAAAGGTCAATTCATTGTTAGTTCAAATACACATAGAATGATTATTGTGAAAATAAATGAGAGAATAGGAAATTGTCACCTTTTGAAATGGTGGAGAAGATTTGTAACTCAGGTGGATGATTGTGGTGGTGTTTGGTTCTATGAGTTGGATGTTTTGGATGTGGAGCTTTCATTATTGTTCTTCTACTGAACAACATCATCATCAACACAAACTTCTATGGGCGGCTTTGGAATCTTGACTCGTTTTTCTTTGAGGATGATTCTTCTTTGTTCTCTGTGTCATCCACTTGACATTTCGATGTCAAGTCTGCTTGAACTCATCGATCTATGCTTAACAACAGAGTCTACGAACAAACAAAAGGGACACTAATGGGATCACCAATATCAGAACTTATTGCGGAAGCGGCAATGCAGAGACTAGAAGCGTCGATTTTACCAGTAATCAAACCAAAAATGTGGGTTCGCTATGCGGACGACACATTCGTCATCATCAAAAAGAACGAGCTGGAGAACATCTGCAATCAGATCAACAACGTCTTCGACGACATTAAATTAGTGATGGAAAAGGAATCAAACAAGAGTCTATCATTACTGGATGTACTAATCACCAGAACTAACACAGCAAAACTGGAAACTCAAGTATTTCGGAAGCCGACCCACACAGACGTAATCCTCAACTACATTAGCAACAACCCAAGAACCCACAAAATCAACTGTATACAAACTTTGTTCAAGAGAGCGAAGACACACTGCACCACACACGAAGCACTATAAAATGAGGAAAAACACCTAGTGACTATCTTGTAAAAGAAGGGTTATCCACGCAACTTCATCAAAAAACATCAACCGAAGCGAAACCAAGCACAGGAACCAATAAACGGATCATCCTACCATACATACATATCGGAGCATACAGCACGACTACTAAAACCAATTGGAATAGGTGTGGCACACAAACCAACAGAATCACTTCAACCAATCCTATGTAGACCAAAGGACAAAATGACAAATGAAGAAAAACCAAATATCATCTACAAAATAAATCGCTCAGACTGTGAAAAACACTACATAGGACAAAGTGGACGACATCTTCAGCTTCGTTTACATGAACACCAATAAGCAGTCAAACGCCACGACAACGCTTTACTTATATCAATACACACCGACAATGATGGGCACATATTCGATTGGAACAATGTGGAAATACTGGGTAGGGGGGAGGATAAAGAACACTAGAGAATTTTTAGAAGCTTGGCACTCAGGTCAATCAGTAATCAACAAACACATCGATATTGACCCAATTTATCAACCAATCAGGAAAATCATTGGTGACATAGGATCAAGAAACAGATAAAAGGGGGATACAATCAAAACAAAGGTGCAAACAACGACAAATTTAAGGTCAACAGCAACTAATCAAGATCGAGGTTAGCAGAACAAGCTACAGGTCAAACGTGGAGAATTTCGAATGTTTCACTTCTGTCAGAATTTTGTGATGATGATGTTCAGAATAAGAACAATGAAAGCTCCACAACCAAAACATCCAGCTCAGAGGACCAAACACCACCACAATTGTCATCTCGCCTCTTGTCACGCTACAAATTGGCTTTAGGGAGATGACCGGGGTAAATTTAAGGTGATGAGAAATTGTTAATATATACCGAACAATTAACAATCAAGGATTACGGAACATGTGACTCAATGACTTCCCGATAAACATAGGGGAGTAGAACACCATGTTGATTTTTATACATTTGAAATCATCAATCAATCATTGTTAGACCACCATTAGAAATCTGGAAGCACTGGACGGCCGTTTCGTCCTGGTATGGGACTCATCAGCAGTGCGCATCCACCCTAACCATGTTGCTTGGTAGCAAAAATATTGGTCGTAACAGGGTATACGACTAATATCAGGACACATTTTAAAACGTTATATAGAAATGGTCAAGGAAAAATTCTCGTATGAACAATCTGTTATAACCTAGAATTTACCCTGGTCATCTCTCTCTCTTAGCCAATTTGTGGTGTGATGGCAGGGTGACCATTTCCTTTTCATTACATATTATGTTAATGTTCTCTCTCCTTTATTTTAACAATGTGTAATTGACCTTACATTCGTTTTCATATTCAATGCCTTGACAAATGTTTATGTGTATGATCAGATCGTTCGAAATGTTATAGCGTAAATAAATCACAAGATTTTTGAGATCACAATTACGTCTTCTCATTGTTATATGGAGATTAAGGTGATGTTGAGTATGCGAATAATCTTGTCTTACTATGCAATGATTCCTAAGCCATGAAATCTACATTTATACGGTTAGCAATTCGAGTTTATTGCAATGACATGTGCTTTGAACTTTCTAGGTACCAAATTACTTTTACAAGACTAGTAAGAACCTGAAACTGTACTCATTCTTGCTAAAGAACAGAAAGAAGTAGTCGAAAAGCTAATGTATCTGAGTAGCATGGTAAGTGTTAGTGATAGCGTGAAAATGGTGAGTCCAATTCCTGTATAATGAAAGCCACAATAGCTTATATCTATCTCGACCATCTGTGATATTGTGTCGTAGTGTAAAAAGAAACTGTACATGACTGCCCACTGATGATCCTTCACAAAATGGTGCTTCCTACCCTCATTATTATTATTATTATTATTATCATTGATTTTGCGGAATTATACCGTTTTTTCTCTATCTCTTCACAATCACATTTTTATTATGTGTCACGCATACATTGAAGTGCCCCCCAGGTATTGCTGATTTTTTGTGTTCTAAATGAAATAATAGAAGCACAAATGACATGAAACTGTTGAATACAAAACGATGAGTGAATCTGTGTCGTTTAGACCATGTTGTGAACCATGTTAATTAACATCTCTAACCACTTGATTACGAATGTCACGCTGATTGCAACCAGGTGATCTGTACTTACTAAAAAATAGATTCAATTTCAGCTTACTTTAACAACATCAAAGATAGGCCATATAATGTGCATTACAGGGTTGTTACTTTTTGAAATCATGAATCGATTCACTGTTAGACCATCATTAGGAGCCTAGAAGCACTGGATGACCATATCGTCCTACAGTATAGGACTGATAAGCAGTGCGCATCTACAACTCGCGCTCTTCTCATAAATCAAGGACTTTCGGCCTTGAGTGCGAACGCTTAACCTCTGGACCAATGAGCCGGCATCCAACGATGTTACTGTCTAACTTCGAACAATCCATGGTCTTACGAAAACTCATCAAATGTCATCGGTCAGCACTACTTCACACCAGAACAGGCCTGAATTTTACTGGTCACAACTTCTTACTAGAACTCAATGAAACTTCCTCACAGAGCTAGTCACTACTGAGCACTTGATAATTTGCGATATAGGTTTGTGAAGATCATTGAGTTACTTTTTAAAATCATGAATCGATCTAATGTTAGACCATCATTAGAAACTTGAAAGCACTGGGCGTGAGTCGTGGATGCACACTACTGATGAGTTCCACATACCAGGACGAAACGACCGTCGTCCAGTATACTTTCAGATGTCGAATGGTGGTCCTGTCTGTAATGATCAAAATAAAATGACGAATATCATGGAAGAGAAGAAACGAATTGACAGAAATTCAGATCTACCTACCGGTTTTAGGTCGTTGTAACAGAAGGTAGTAATTTTCTAGTGTTTCACTGTCTTGTTTTGAAATATATGTAATTAGAATGAGTGTATTTTGTTTACGAGGTTCACGTTTAGTAAGTTTCACTGGATAATTCATTACACCAAGACTAAAAATGAACATAAAAAAAAGAAAATTTCATTTAAAAATAAACATCATTAGAATTTAAATAGATTGGAATATCAAAGCCCCGACCATAGCTGCTACCTTGATGTGGTGGTCGAGCTTGCCTATCGTGATGACCCAACCGAGATATACTGGCTGGAACATATGTTCCTGATGGTTCTACCATGCCAGGCAAGTCGATTGGAGAACGATCAGACTAAAAGCAGTTACTCAAGGTCTGAGGGCGAAGTCGTACTGCTGACTGACTGTAGAGGGGTGTGACAGCAGTAAGGTGTTTCCCTCGGACAACAAGCAGCATCTGCAGCGATGCTGCCTTCTCACAAGGAAGGAAGGGTTAGAAAAGGTCGACCCTAAAAATGTCACACCTCAACCTACCTCACGGATTTCCGTCTCCTTGGGTAAGGGTGCCCACTAAGGGGTTTTAAGAGCAGGGCTAATACTCAAAAAACCCTTCATCAAAAAGTTGTGCGTGACCGGCCTCAGGCAGTTGTCGCTTGGGCTCTGTGGTCTCGGCCCTAGGTCTCTAAAACCGACACTAATCTACCTTCCTTTTCAGGTCCCTCAAGAAACAACCTTCTACGGTGTGGGCAGCCGGGAAGTGACAACTGCCCTCATACCCGTAACAGCGCGAGAGACCAAGTTGGTCTTGGAATATCAAAGCATGACATAAATTATCGAAATCATTACCTTAAATTATGTAACAAAATGAATACAGTAAACTATGAGATACGCTGACGCAAGGTTTAGTGTTCGTCGGAAGCTGAGTGTGTTAGACATTGAATACTGAATCAATGGTTGTTTCGAAGTTAAGCGTTCACATTCGAGATTAAAATTTGTAGGCTGAATCCCTGACTGCGCAGTTGTCCTAACAGAGTTCGATTTCGTTTACTACATAAAGCAGAAGCCATAGGAATCTGAACATTCAGTTTCAATACATGTGTTACGATTGCCTCGACGAACAGTGTTTCATGGTGTAGGAGTAGGTTGGAAGAAAGTTAGGGGTGGCCAAACCAAAATATGGCACAAATCCATAAAGTCACCGACAAGTGAATTGAGCCATGTTGGCGGATGTAGGCTATGTGGTTGTGGTCCGCGAGACGATAGTCACCGATGGTTAGAGACCTTGAACGACATGGCTCAATATCATTTGCAATGGCGCAGGTGCATCAATTCTTTGTGTTCTATGGAATTCTAATCTTCTGAATTCCTCGGTGCCTCTATCTTTCTCTTTCTAAATTTATCTCACTGAATTATACTTCTTAAAATAATGTCGTCGAACCCTAATCTCTCCAATTACTGCTTGTATTTCTACCTTATTGTTGACTGACTGTTGAAGCCGTCAATGATGTGACAGGCTGGCAGAAGCCATTTCGGCTTTAATTATACATGAATTAAACTCATCACTCATGTCATTATCAACACTTACAAATCTATCCAGGTACATGACAGACAGACAGACAGATACAACGCAGAACTTCGTACGTACTCACGTACATCAGTTCAGGTTGCCATACCACATCAGCACTGAGACGCAACTGTCGGTTTAAATCCAAGAGTGATAGTGATAGTAGAAGTATTAGCAGTAATGGAGAAGATTATAGTTCAAAGATGTGATTCGATAAGTATAATTCAGTGAGACAAATTTAGAAGGAGAAAGATGGAGATGATTAGGGTTTCAGGAGGTTAGAATTAGAGAGAACACAAAGAGTGGATGCATCAGCGCCATTGCAAACGATTTTGAGTCATGTCGTTCAAGGTCTCTAAGCATTGGTGACTTTCGTCTCGCGGACCACAACCACATAGCCTACATCTACCAACATGACTCAGCCCACTAACCGGTAACAGATTATGTGTGAACTGCATGGTTTCAGTATAGATTAACATCACAGTAACTGGTTATAAACTTGTTACCAAACATTTCCCAGTTAGTTTGCACTTTTACTAACACATTAGTTGAACGTGCTAGTCAATATAACTTTATCGATCGATATTATATTTCACTTTGATAACATGACGAAAATTGGAATACTTTAAAGTTAAAAAGCTGCCAAAGTAATGAATAGTAAAATAACTTACCTTTTTTGATATACACTACGATCAATACATAAATGACAATTTTCAATATCAGGTAACATGTTATCACTATTGTTTTCATTAACCTAGGGAAAATATAGATTAAAAAGGAAAAGAGAGATTTGGAAAAGCCTCGAGTAAAACAGACAGAAATATTCATACTATCGACTTTTTGTACCGATTTCCAAATTTTATCAACCTAGGAGTTGTATGATTACTAACTGTTAGCTGTTTGTTAGTCTTTTCTAGTGCAGGACGGAGATTGGCGGAGCTTCCTGGAGGAGTTAGGAGCCACGGTGGAGCTGGTGGGGGCCTGGGGCGGAGTTGACGGCGCTGGGGACGCTGCGGGGGGGTGAGGCGAGGGCGGTACACGACAGCCTGGACGGTGCCACCGAGGAGACGGCGTGGGAGACGGTCACCGGGCGGCTGATAATGGAGTTCGACAGCCCAGCGGACAGCGGGGAGGCGCCGCAGAGGTTCCGGTTGGCGCGGCTGTCGGCCGATGGTGACCTGTTGGTGCTTGCTGTGGAGCTCACCGGATTGCGCCGTGAGGAGTGGGCGGGGCACAGTCTTTGGCGTCGCAATTTATCGAGTGTGTGCCTGCCGCCGTGTTCCAGCATCGGGAACTTGTAAACGCTACACGTTGGATAGATGCCGTATCCATTCCAGACCAGTGATCAAGAACGATGACCGAAGTGGTAATCCGGCATATTGTAGCGTGTCACGGAATACGGAAGGTGATATTAACTGATCAGGGGCTCTGTTTTGAAGGACTACGACGACAGCTTATTAAGAGGGGGGACGAGTGTGGTGCTGTGGTGCGAACTACTTATAAGTAGTATATAACGTGAGTGTCAACGTAAAGTCTGGTAGCATAATATGGGGGGAAGATCAAGAAAGGAAGAGTCAGAAAACAATGGAATTTGTATGAAACGCATGAATAGTGACGATGGATTGATGTTTGGCAACAGGACAGTCCAGTTCCATAGGATGAACTGATCTTTTGCAAATGAACGATTTACGATATGGTTTTCCGATTTTACTGAGTAACTCTGTAATTTTCGTTAAATACAATTCGGTTGCACCCACCTGTGTTCTCATTCACTACACTAGTACTCATTACTTACACTACTGTACGTACTACCTTCATATACAAGGTGCTTACCTAACTTCTCGCTTAGATATGAACCATTACAGCAGACAGATAGACAGACAACAACGTAGAACATGATACGTACGCACATCTGGTTCAAGTTGTGATACCACATTAGCAAAAAAATATGCGACTGTCAGTTCCAATCTTATAGTGTTAAAGGTAGTAGATGTATTGGCGGTAGTGGAAAAGATCAGCGTTCGAAGATATGCTTTAAGAAGCTCCGCCTGTAAACCCTTTGAGGCTACTGCCGTTCCCAAGCCCGGATAAAGGAGGAAGGTTGAGATGTGGATTGACTGCCCCATCCCGGAAAAAACTAACTTTCCCAAAAAAACCTCTAACAAGAAATAATAATTCAAACAATTTAAACTCTGCTCTGGGAGTTAGAAGGTCTTCATTTAGAAGAATTATGACGTCTCATGATGAAAGCCGAGTTTCTTCGGAAGTTGTGAGGCCGATGCGCCTTCTGACAACCAGAACCCTTCCATAGTGTGGGCAGCCGGGAAGTAACACCCGCCCTTATGCTTATAAAGGCACATGATGTTTCAAGAAGTATCATCCAGTGAAATAAATTTAAAAAGAGTAAAAACGTTGTGAGGAATTCGGAAGATTAGAATTTTGAGTGAACACAAAGAATGGATGCATCTGCGCGATTGCAAACAATTCTGAGCCATCTCATTCAAAATCTCTAACCAGAGGTTACTATTGTCTTGCAGACCAGAACCAGATAGTCTGCATCTACTAACACAGTTCAATCTAGCTGTTAATGACCTCATGAATTTGTGCCATATTACGGTTTGGTAGTGCCTACCTTTCTTTCAGCCCATCCGGCAGCATCACTCGTCAGGGTAGTCGGTGGTTAGGTCTACTCAACACATATCCTAACCACATCAACCGATAAACATTCACTACTTTATCTGCCATTCTCAACTAGTATTCTTTTCTTAACCCCAACGTTATTTATTCAATGGCACCTATGATCGACAACATGTAACCTACCTGTTGGGGATGTTAGATCCCCAGAAATGTCTTGATAAGTGTCTTTATTTTGGATTTCATTCATGGGCTGAGCAGTTGACCTTTAGATCACATTTCCCGCCAGGAAAGACCTTGACTGCGGTTGGTTACTGTGTTATTTTAGTGTGCTATTTTGTGACTCTCTCAAGGACGTTTCTATGATGTGTAAAATAAACTCAATTTGTGTGCTTGAGATGATTGTGCTTGTTATGTGTTTGTAGAATACGCCATATCAAGACTTTTTCTTCAATTAGCTGGGGAGACGGATCAGAGTAGCCTAACATGTCACTGGTTTATTGCCTTGTTCTCGTTCATCGACTAAGGTGAACCAGTAATAGTTTCAAGCATGCCTAGTGACGAGCAGGTACATTCACTGTTTGTGTTCTCCCTAATTCTAACCTTCTGAATTCCTCATCACCTCTATCTTTCTCCTTCTAAATTTATCTTACTGAATTACACTTATCGAATCATATCTTCGCTCCCTAATCTTCTCCATTACTGCTAATAATTCGACCATCACTATCACTCTTGGATTTGAAATGACAGTTGCGTCTCAGTGCTGATGTGGTATGGCAACCTGAACTGATGTACGTGAGTACGTACGAAGTTCTGCGTTGTATCTGTCTGTCTGTCTGTCTGTTAGTGACGAGCATAACACCGCCGATATATCCTTTATTCTTACTGAACATGTTTCACACACAAACAACCAGACAAAATACGATGAAAACACATACCACTTGTTTAAATGATTCACATAAATCCACATTATGAAGTGGACACTGAATACAATTTGGATTTTTCGGTGCACAATACAATGCACCGAATTCCATTAATGCTTGATTAAAATCACCAGGTCGATTTGAATGGATTAATTGAGTTGTTAAATTCCATAAATATTCCATTGTGTTATTAAGTTGTATAGGCGAACCAATTCGACGTAAACGTGTTAGAATACGAATTACATTTCCATCTAATACAGGTGTACACTAATGGTATAAATAGAATTTTAAAAAAAAACTGTAGTTATAAATGCAAATTGGTACTATATTTACAGAATTTACTACAAAAAATGTTAAAAGTAAGAAACAATTAGATTAGTGATTAGAGTAGAGCTAGTGGCAGTCAGTTAATGAGTTGTAATGTTGTAGAATTTGGTGCATAGATACATCATTGTTAGTTCGAATCTCATAACACTAAACATACTTGGAGTATTATTGGTAATGAGAAAGATTCGACGTAGAAGATATGTGATCGAGAAGTTACAAACTAGTCAGTTAGTAAGTCAACAAGAATGTCGAACGTCGTACATATGTGTACATTAGCATATTAGCACAGAGATGTAATTGTCAATTTAAATCCCATAGTGGTAAAAGTATACATCCTTACTAGGTAAGGATGGCAAATCAATTGATGAAGTGATGAAAATTCATCAGCTGAGGTGGTTAGGACACGTGTTACGTATGCCTAACCACCGACTGCCTCAACGAGCTTTGCTTTGTAGTGTAGGAATAGGTTGGAAGGAAGTGAGGGGCGGCCAGACCAAAACATGGCACAAATCCATGAAGTTATTGACAAGTGGACTGAGTCATGTCGGTAGTTGTCGACTACCTGGTTAGGGTCCGCGAGATGATAATAATCGATGGTTAGAGACCCTGAATGACATGGATCAAAACCGTTTGCAATGGTGCCGGTACATTTATTCTTTGTGTTCTATGGAATTCAAATCTGAATTCCTCATTGCCTCTAGTTTTGTCTTTCCAAACTTATCTCACTGAATCATACTTCTTGAATAATATCTTTTAATCCTAACCTCTCCGATTACTTCTAATACCTTTACTACCTCCACTACTATTGGATTTGAATTGACAATTATATCTCTGTGCTGATTTGGTATGGCAACATGAACTGATGTACTTACGTACGAAGTTCTACGTTGCATCTGACTGACTGATTAGAAGTATGAACAGTAATCGGAAAGATTATGGTTTGAAGATGCTATTAAAAAGAGTAGAATAAATTTGATAAGAGAAAGATGAAGGTTGTGAGGAATTCAGATCCTGAACACAGCACATTATAACACTTACATATAAACGACTTAGTCTTTAACTAAGTAAGCAAACACATTTTTGATTTCGTGTACTGTTAAGGGTATGCAGGTGGATGTCAATTCGCGACTGCTCACAGCGTGAAAGTTTTTTTTGAAGAACCTGGAAAGGAAGTAGGATTAGCGTTAGTCTTAAAGACCTGGAGGGGTGACCGCATAGCCTAAAAGAATACTGCTTGAGGCCTATCACACACGGCCTTTTTTAATGGAAAGATACTAAATGGTTAGTTCTGTTTTTTAAAACGCGTTACTACCACAGACGGAAATTGGAGAGGTAAGGTGAGGTGTGACATTTTTCGGGTCGACCTTTGCTACCCTTTTCCATTCCCTTGTGAGAAGGCGGCATCGTTGTTCGAAGGAAATAGCTTGCACTTGTTACACTCCTGTAGTCAGCAGTACGACTGCACCTTTACAGCTTGAGTTGCTGCTTGCAGCATTACCGTTCTCTAACCGAGCTGCCTGACATGGTGGTACCTAAAAGAGCATGTGTTCGGTTAGATCATCAAGATAGGCAAGCACAAGCATTACATCAATGTAGCAGCAACGTTGATAACACATTTATGGTAAATGATATAATAATAATAATAATAATAATCAGAAATTTTTTCTAAAATCAGTGTAAAATCTCAACTACCTGATTAAATGCAATACTTGCAATCGCTCCAGCTGTATACCGTCCAACACCAGGTAGAGTACGTTTTAAAACTTCTGCAGATTGAGGAAATTCACCATTGAACTCATTGACAATCTATGGAGATGAAAATGACAGTTCAGTTTGATTTGCTTTTTTACTTCAAATTCTAACCTTTTTTGCTGCTTCATGTAATAGACGAGCTCTAGAATAATAACCTAATCCAGACCATAAACAATTCACATCCTATAATACAATAATAATAATAACAGTGATTAATATTATTATAACAATCAGCCATTCAGTCAGCTACAATGTAGAACATGATACTTACATATACAAATCAGTTCAAGTTGCCTTACCACATAAGCACACAGTGATGAAATTGTCAGCTTACATCCCAATAGTAGTAGAGATGTAGTAGAAGTATTATGAGTGATGAAGATTATAGTTCGAAGATATGATTCGAGAAGTATAATTCAGTGAGATAACTATAGAAAGAGAAATATGGAGCTGATGAGGAATTCAGAAAGTTACAGTTTGAAAGAAGACAATGAATGAATGCGCCTGTGCCATTGCAAACGATTTTGAGCCATGTTATTCAGGGTCTTTAACGATCGATTACTAACATCGCGCATACTCCAACCAGGTAGTCGACACCTAGCGACATGACTCATTCCACTTGTCAGTGACTTCGTGGACTTCAGCCATGTTTTGGTTTGGCCACCCCTAGCTTTCTTTTAACCTATTCCTCTACATCGCAGAACAGCTGAACAAGGCAGTCAGTGGATAGATATACGTATCACATATCCCAACCACCTCAACTGATGCAGTTTGATTACATCATCAATTGATCTGCCATCCTTACCTAGTACTCGTTTCCTAATAAAAGCATTGCTTACTCGGTTATCCCACGATACACGAGCAATGCTTCTAAGACATCTGTGATCGAATACTAGTAATCAACGAATATCTTCTACTCTTACCGACCATGTTTCGCATCCATGTAGGAGAACGGAGCAAACTGCTGCACAGTACACTCGTCCTTTAGTTAGCAAACGGATATCTTGCCTACACCATAAATGACGCAGGTTGGCAACATCCAATCGAGCTTTCTGTAGTCGTGCTGAGATTTCGTCAGTCATCAGGCTATCAGCACTGATCAGACTGTCGAGATAAGTGAGGCGGACGACACGTTCGACTACTTCACTCCCTATCACTAGTTCAGGTACCGATGAAACCCAATCTTGAATCAACATTTTGCATTTCGAGGGTGAGAACCGCATCCCTAACATGCTTGCATTGTTACTTAGGGTGGTCAGAAGACTGCATTTTGTCAGCGTCTTCACCAAGTAGGACTATGTCATCGGCATATTCTAGGTCAGTAAACGATCCTCCTGATAGAAGGTTCACTCCTGAAAAATCTGACGAGGATAATGCCAACTCTTAAAGGATTTCTACGACAAATTTGAACAAGAATGGAGAGAATGGATAGCCCTGTCGGACACCACTTGAACTAAAGAATTCCTATGATATTTCACCATAAACTCTAACTCAACCAGTAGTGTTCGAGTAGAGAGCTTGTATAAGGTTAATGTACATTTTTTGGTACACCTTTTAATGACAGACACTGCCACAGAACCTCACGATCGACAAATTTAATACCAATTATTCTGTCTACATTGACCATCAAACATGATTCACTTCAGTTGTCAGTGGTGACTTCATGAATTCGCGCTAGGTTTTCATATATATATTTTTTTAATGCTAGTAAATTCTTAATATAAATAAATATATTGCAAAAATCAGTACTAAATCCACACTTACATCTAATGTAGCCGAAGCTAATCGATCTACACTTGGCCATTTCTATATGATAAAAAGTAATGATCGATCCAACAACAACAACAACAATCAACAAACCTTCATCCATCGATTATAATAATCAATGACTGTATTCACTTGAGTTTGTTGAAGCATCACTTCAGATATCCAAACTGAATTAAAGATATTAAGACAATTATTATGTGAATAATAATAATAATAATAAATATACCAGCATAACCACGTAAATTTGCATCAGGATTATTGGCCTATAAGAAATAATTATTATTAATAATAATAATAACTGACTATTAGCACTATTGACTTACCACCATTTGACGCCATGGTAGATCACGTTTAGATTTATCATACCATTGAAGGAGAGTTTCATGTAATTTTTCAATTTGATTTATTGTAAATGAATGTTTAGAACTAAAATTAATTATGTAATTAAAAGAAGGGAATGGAAAATGCTCAGTCAGTTAATTGGTCAAATAAAAAAAAACATACCACATTTTATTGGAATTGATGAGATGGACGACACACATCAATCTACCTGATCGATCTATATGGGCGCTAAGAAGAGAAAGAGTTCAGTTTTTTTATGAAATATGATACTGATGATATAAACTGTAAAAGTACCGATCAATATCCTGAAATATTTCCAAATAAAATAGCAAACAGTAACGATTTCTGTGGACGTTCCTCTGATTTGTAGTAAGATGTGACCAGTGAAGTTCAAACATGTAGGACGTAGGCAGTTACCTATTTGAGATCATAGGTGAGGTTGCGCAAAATCCTTAGACTGATCAAAGTTAGACATTGACACCGTTGAATGCTGGCTCAGTGGTTCAGATGTTAGGCGCGCTCGCGCGCAAGACCGAAGGTCCTGGGTACGATTTCATCGAGTGGCAGAAGTTGTGGATGCGTACTGCTGACAAGTTCCATAACAGGACTAAACGGCTATCCAGTGCATCCACATTTCAGTTGATATAAAAGTCGGAATTTTAATACAAAGCATCGAGAGAGCTGGAACTAAGAACTATAAATACTGTCATTCAAAAGATACAAGTGTTTCAACAGTTTGAATATCCTAGCCATGAGGCACTCCGTAGATGCCCGATTCCGAGATGAACAGGCTGGATTCCGTAAGGATCGATATTGTACCAGCCGAACTGCAACACTACGGATCATTGTGGAAGAATCAATTTAGTGACACTCACCACTCTACATCAACTTCATTGACTACCAGAAAGTACTGCTACCTTGACGTGGTGGTCGAGCTTGCCTATCGTGATGACCCAACCGAGCTATACTGGATAGAACATAGGTTCCTCGAGGTTCTACCATACTAGGCAGGTCGATTGGAGAACGATCAGACTAAAAGCAGTTACTCAAGGTCTGAGGGAGAAGTCGTACTGCTGACTGCAGAGGGGTGTGACAGCAGTAAGGTGTTTCCCTCGGACAACCAGCATCTGCAGCGATGCTGCCTTCTCACAAGGAAGGAAGGGTTAGAAAAGGTCGACCCTAAAAATGTCACACCTCAACCTACCTCACGGATTTCCGTCTCCTTGGGTAAGGGTGCCCACTAAGGGCTTTAAAAGAGCGAAGCTAACACTCAGAAAACTTCTCATAGAAAGGTCGTGCGTGATCGACCTGAAGCAGCTCTCTCTTGGGCTCTGTGGTCTCGGCCCTAGGTCTCTAAAACCGACACTAATCTACCTTACTTTTTAGGTCCCTCAAGAAACAACCTTCCACGGTGTGGGCAGCCAGGAAGTGACAACTGCCCTCATACTCGTAACGGCACATGATATCAAATTGATCACAATCAAATCCTTTTTACACTCCCTAACACATCCCCCTTATTTTCACGACTAACTCTTCTCATATTTCTTCATCGCTCTGCACGTCTGCTGCAAACGATTTGAGTTCCCGAAACGTTATTCCTGGTCTATTGTTTCCTTATTCTAAACTACATGTTGGAGCATTTAGTGTACGGACATTGTGCCAAATAGGACAACAGGCTTCACTAGCTAGGACTTCAGTTATAGTTAGTGCAACTTCTCGAGTATAATTTTTGCGCCTTCCAGCTTCGTTGATGTCAGTGTCGGTCGATATTGACTTGAATATTATCGATGATGCCCGTTCGTTTCTGCAGTTTCCAGTCTATTAGTATGTGATGTCGCCAGAATCACACCCTTGATCTCTCATTCTTTTGGCTGCCATGAATTTCTAGTTAGATGGTTTGCCTTTAGACAGAGTGCATAAATTAATTTTTAAGAATTCTATTCTCTTATCTTCGATGTTTACTCACACTGTGTGGCCTGGAATTTCAAAAATGTATTTTCTAGAATCCCTGACGGATTCAAATTCGAAATTTAGCCTATCTGCTTTTGAGTTACCTCACACACCGTCATTTCTCGAGATGTCTGGATAGGTTTATTAACTTATCAATAAACATAAATGCTGTAATGTGTTTCAGGTTGAATTTTACAGGTAGTGTTTATAGAGATTAACGGTAACCAGATTCCGACTTCATCATAGCACAGTGTGTAAGGAACTACTTTAGCCTAATTATCGCATTGTTGGATAGAATAGTATCTCTAAAAGGACAACTATGGTGAAGTTAAATAAAAACGATGGACATTCGACAAGTCTAACAAACACCACTTGAAAGAATCGAATCGGATGACAAGTTCACCAAAATATCTGACTCAAACAAAACTTAGATGTTTCCTTAGGGAGAGAAAGTAAAGCTCGGTATTTTTTTAATTATGGGCAACCAAAGCAATGAATTGAATAGTTAGTAATTACATTTAGATTCACCCACCAACAAAATAGACATTCTGATCATTGAAAGCACTCAATATCTTTGGTCTGTTAAACAAGCCTGATATAATTAAATCCATGTGACACAATAAAATACATTATAAATTACTAGAGATACTAGCTAATTATGTCGCGAATCTCTCAGGAGTATTTTTTATCTATCCTTAACAAATTTAGATAACTAACAGACTGGAATAGCACCATAGATAAACCTGTCTTCGAAATAGGTACAAGACAAATTAAAGAACTGTCAACTCGTATGCCTTATCATCGTGGTTGTGAAAATTTCCAGAAAAGAGTAGTCATATAGAGATGTCTGGTCACTAATACGAAAACTGCATTCTTTGAGAGAAGTAGCACAGCCTCAGAATAAGTTATTCACTCCTCCCACACTTATAGTAGCCTATGAAAGTTGATGTAGTCTTAATGATCAAAAGCTACCTAGAGATGTAGCCTTAATTGACTTTAGTGAGGCTATTGAAAAAAAAGACTATTAAGGTTAATTGATGTCTGGGTCGGAGGTGACTTGCCTGCGTGAATGAAGGACTTACTAGTAGTGCACTGACGGGTTGACTCATAATTGTAATCTGTACACTTTAATTTTCTATGATATGTTTTTGAAACAAGTTTACCCTTTTTACTAGTCAAGTAATATGTAGAAACAGACAGCAAGATGTGGTAAAAGTTTCAAAGTGATGTAACTTGAATTCTTGGAGTCGTAAAGCAACTTTATGATGAGAGACTGATTTACCTAGATCTATTCTCGTTATTATATAGAAGGACTAGATATGATTTGATCAGCATTGAATTCACTTAAATATATTTTGCACGAGCCTATTTACTCTTGTCTTGTAAAATTGAAGGATTTACAATGATATTTTAAGACAGTTAACAGTTCTAGAATCGGTTACTTGTCAGCTGATTACCGATTCTTCTATGGAACTCTTTATCACAACATACAGTTGGGGCAACTTGGAGAAACACGAAAGCCGTTATTCAAAAGACAAGCTCGAACAGAGAATCCTCAGGGAGAAAGGAATGAAGGTAGATCAAATGAACACATTACGTCACGAATTGAGAGCGGAATTCAAAAGGGTGAATTGAGAATAAGAACAACTAGATAAGAGAGCTATAGACAGAGTGGGATGTGGAGTGCTGTTTAGTGGCCTATGCTCTACGAGGAGTAACAAGCGGGAGTAGGTAAGTAAGCAAGCATTAGTAGCGACATCTGTAGATAGGTTCTCAACTTCAAGAGTTACACGAGTCACTTAGGTTCCTGTGTTTCTCATAGTGAAACAGGCTTTCCAAAAAACGGCAAATAAAATCTTTTGGACAACATACTCTCAATGCTGATTATTCATCAAAATGGTGTAAACTCAGGTTCGAGTTCATTGGCATGAAAACAAAGACAATTAAACTTACTTGTTATCTAAGCATATAAAACGGGAAAACTTACCTGTTGGTGTAAAATGCAACTTTGACGCAACAGTCCTAAATTTATTCGGTTGAACGACCCTGAGATGAAGTAATCTGATTGAACTTCTATCCTCACTGTAATCGACTAATCTAGTTTAAATACAAGTTACTTTCGATGACCTTGAATCTACCTCATTTCATAACCGATGGAAAGAAAAGTCACTCATTCGGAGCGTACGCTATAAAAGCCTATATTTAAAGCAGTGGTTTTTACAACCAGTTCTTCATCTCGAATTTTTCCAGTAAGGCTATCAAATCTTGCTATTCTTGCAGTAAGGGGATCCAATATCTAATATCTAATATCTTTTTCACGAGCTAGTGTAAACCAGTTTGATTTCTTCGTGCTCGATTCTTGTTCTTTCGGTACGGTTCAAGGTATTCGGTAATGTCCAATGGAAGGAGGCCAAGCCACTCGACTGTCTAATTCTAGTCATTTGGCAGTTGGTTGTGAGTTTGTATGTCTCGGGATTTGAATGAAACGTTTGTTTCAAGGCAGTAGGGTTTCTGGATACTAGCAGCCGTCACATTACCAAACCGGAGATCAGTTAGTTGCAATGTGGAGAGTAATAAGGGTAATAAGGATAAAATTAAAATGATAATATGAATAAAATTTCAGAACTGAGTAATATATAGATGAATTTAGTTTGTTAATTGGTAGTGAGGATTGTGAGAGAGGACCGAAGTTTAGGCAAGGGAGAGGAAACAGAGATAATATGCGGGATAGATTAATTGAGTGATCTGAGGAGATGGCAATGATAACAATCAGCAGGTCTCAAGATATCAGCTCAGTGGAAATAATCCCAAGAGCTAGAGTCTATCGTCGTAGGATTTATTTTTCAATCCTATCACCCATTTGGTTGCTCGTCTCTGCACTCGGTCCAAGAGATTTATGTTCCTTTTAAGCAGAGGGGGTGCGATGACGTTGTGAACCTCCAAGTGTGGGCGCGCGTCCGTCCTAAACAGGGTTAAATACAATTTCGGGGTGATAACACCAAGCTGTCTTCGCACAAAGTGAAGAGTCGCATTTGCCTTAGCTGCATCCCCTACATAGTCTGGACTGGTGTGGAGGCTTTCTGTGGATATTAAACCAAGATAGCGCTCTGAGGAGACATTAGGGAGCGGACTTCCATTAAGAGTATAGGTCGTTTGCGTCATTTGAGGCAGGAAATGCATGACGTGGCACTTCGGTTGGTTGAGTATTAAACCGTTTTCCACTGCCCATTTCTCAATGGATGTAAGGTCCTCTTGAAGCTCAGTCGAATCCTCTTCGCTTCTAATGGACCTCCAGATCTTCGCATCGTCTGCGTAGATCAAAGCCGGTGGGCTGACTGAGCCTAGCAGGTCGTTAATAAATATCAGGAAGAGGAGTGGGCCTAGGATGGTCCCCTGTGAAACTCCCGATGTGGATACTCTCCAACTCGCGTGCACTCTGTTTACCTTGGTGCGAAACTTTCCATTCTCAAGGTAGTTTCTGAGCCAAGATAAGAGTGGGTCAGTGAATCCCATTTCCACAACCTTTTCGATTAGGCGTGCGTGGGGCACTGTGTCAAAGGCCTTTGCAAAGTCGAGGAATATTACGTGTAACGGTATTTTACGGTCTAAACAGGATGTCCAACTGTCCCATGCGATCATCATGGAGTAATTTATTCATTTGTTTGTCCACTAACCTTTCCATAACTTTTGATAATATTGGTAATAGTGCGACTGGCCTGTAACAGGCTAGGTCCTTACTATCTCCTCCTTTGAAAATTGAAGAGAGAGTAGTTTGTTTCCTTTTAGCTGGGAATTGGTGTGACTCCAGTGAATGTGTAACGGTTAACAGAGGACTTGAGCACACTGTTGCAAGACTATACGGCGGATTTTGTTACAACTTGGTGACTTATCTGGGCGTAAGGATTTTAGTTTCCTTTATACTAGGTCGGGAGTGATACGGATGTTCCCTAAGCCCTCAGCTGCGATTGGGTTGGCGTAATACTGTGAACATGTAGGCGCCTGGTTTAATTGATCAGCAAAGGTGGTGTTGAAGGTCTCGGCCATCTCTAGGTTGGTGAAATCTTCCCCGTTTGGCCCTTTTAGAGAACACAACCCCTGATTAGTAGGTTTTTCTTCTGGACATGAACCTAAACAGATTTTTCGGGTTTCCCTCTATTTTGGTGGCTAGCTTCATCTGAAATCGTCTCCTGTCGCTTCGAACTTTGGTATTGCATCTGTTTCTCAGTGCCAAGTAAGAACTGCGATCGGAATCCTTCAAGCAGACCTTCCACTTGTGCCAGGCTTTCCTCTTCGCCTGCAGCAAGCGTTCAGTGCCGCGCCTAGCCCAGGTTCTTCTGTTCTTGCGTTTCTGGTGTGACTGAGGTACGTTGTCTACGACAGCGTTTTGGATTACATCTCTCACTGCTTGCCAGTGGTCATCTTCTGTCAGCCTCCACCACTCCCGTGGCCATGGGGCATGTAGGAGCACCTCTTTCATGCGTGTATAATTTGCCCTATTGTCGCAAAGATAGAGCGCGTTTTTGTCCTGTGTCAGTGTCTCGTTTATCACCATGTTACATAAGACGAAAATATAGCTTAGATTTAGAGTGATCTTGATAACTTAACTACCTGGAGCGAGACATGGCAGCTACCGTTTAACCACAACAAATGTGGCACAATGCATTTTAGCAAGCGTCATCTTGATACACCACTCTACTTACAAAAATGTAGAGTTCAGACACTCATATCAGCGCGTGACCTTGGTATTAGTTATTCTAAAAGCCTAAAATTCGAAGAACATGCCTCAAATATTATCTCTAAATCTAGACGACCAATTGGGTTTATAAACGAGAACTTCTTGAGAGACTAAGCTTACTCTCTTCAAAATCTGTATAAGGCCCACACTTGAATATTGTTCACTCATCCTTTCAAAATTGAATATCACGGACGAAATGCGAGTAGAAAATATACAAAGAAGCTTCACCAGGCGAGTTCTCGGACTGAGCCATAACCTCGACTACACAGAAAGATGCAAGCATCTTTCCCTAGAACGTCTTTGGCGCCATCGTCTCAAAAACAACTTAATGCTCCTCCATAAACTAATAAATTGTCTTTCGTTCGCAAAATACCGCCCAATTATGAACCACAACACTGCTTACAGACTAAGAAACAACGCATATACACTATTAACGGCAAAACACAAAAAATCATTGTGTCGTAATTTCTTTGTAATACGATTTAGTCTATTGTGGAACAGGTTACTAATTACTATCCGTATCTGTGACACAATCACTAAGTTCAAGAAACTAGTCATGCTGTTGCTAGACTCTAAAGAGATATACCGACTATTCCCGGAACTCACACAAAGTCCCCAGGCACTCTTTTATGGTCCACCAAATATTTAGATGAACCTCGGAAACGAATTATAGACTATGAACACATTGTGTTCTCATTACCACCCATACATGTATCATGAAATGATAGACGAATCGCCCTGCTCCTACTAACAGTAATAGGTTACGCCTTTGAAGTGTTACCCGTGACTTTTCTCTGAATTTAAATTCCGATTATTATTTTCATATCTTCAAAGCAGTTTTAGTTTTTATTTCTAGTAGACAGAAAAATTGCAAGGCCTGTAGATGCTGATCAACTACTGTCAATTACAAGGAACTCAAACACCGTGTATCATTGTGAGTATCTTCTTATTTAAGTATTAACAGTTTAACTAATTTTTATTTCCCCAATTCATTAACATCCAAACACCTTGCCTGCTTACCAACTTATCGCTTTACTCATTAATTTTTAACATTATTTCAACTCCTTTTTTTCTCTTTCTCCTCGTTCCAGCTCCCTGTCTTTCCTATTTCCAAACTACCTATTAACTGACTCATCTTACAAATTATACCATTCGTTTACTTAAAATCAGTGTGATATGCTATGCGGATATATTGTCTGGCAAAGTTGTCTGGATTGCTTGTAATATGGAGCTAGTAGAGGATGTTAATTCCGATAAGGTTTACAAAAAAAATTGAGAGTAGACTAGAGACCATTATTTACAATCAACTATTAAACGTAAGAGAGCCTAACATCACAAAAGGAGGGAGGGTGGTGTATCTGACCAGCATTTATGACGGTGGGGCGATAACCTCAATCTACCCATGTCTGTGTGGCAGAACATTTTGTTTGCTTACGGCTCCTTACGATACAGCAGGATGTAACAAATCAGTGATATTGATGTTGCTTTTCCTTGTTAACCTCGTCTACAACTCATGTCTGTAACCTTGCACTGGTTTTTACTTCCTACCGAGAAATCCTATTACAAGCTGGTCTGGACAACTATACTAAAAAAGAGCTCATTCATAACTTCTTGAGCTACAGAGATAAAAAAAAACAGAATAAATAAAATAAAAACATTATATCACTGAGCCTCTTTATTATATTTTGTAAATCAACTTTATTACTAACAACTTGGCTCTTCTGAATTTCCTCTATTCATACGACTAACTTCCCATTAGTTATCTCACTACCGAATTGTCTTCATTAACCTACATAAGTGCAGGTGTACAGTTAGTGTTCTGATAATAAAAGGTCTGAGTAAACATACCTTTGTTTTGTCCATAAACGTATGTGCGAAGCCGTTGTTCGGCTTTGAACAAGAATATTTTCTGTTCCGCTCCTCGTCCCGTTCTCTTTATTCCTCTTTTTTCAGAACATCATTCCAATCCTCATATATTAGTCTGGATATTTGCAGTAGACTTGGTTACCCTATCCAAGAACATGTGAAATAATTAGCTGATGAATATCAACCTGACCTCTGTACATTTACCGCATCAATTCTTGTTATATGAAAACCTGTCTCTACCATGAATCGTTTCTCAGTCCATAAGATGACTGTCGTAACGCAACCTTCGTAACTTGCGCCAATTTTTCCCATTGTACATTCCATCTTTAGGAATCCAATGAATCTTGTGAAATGTGTCAGTAACTGTATACCGTTTTAAAAGAAATATGTAGATTTATTTCGACGGCGGCTGTCCTAATCGCGTCCAATAGAAACACTCCTGTACGTTACTCCTAGATCCAGGTCCCAGCCAAATCAAAAGGTCAAAATTCTAGGAGAAAACGTCTCTATATTGTTATAAAATGGAAATACAGAGGCTTACGGTATTTTTGTTTCTTCCAGGACTAAATTACTCCGTAGAGTATCTATTACAATAGCTAGTAAGTGACACTAAGTCCAGCAGCCACCGCGTCTATCCAAAAATGTGGCGGTAGCCATATTATATCAAATTTAAACAATATATGTACAGTTCAAAGGCAAACACAACAACTTCAATATAAGTACAAAATATGGAAAGAATAACAACATACAATGGTAAAATCTCAAATTGGAATCAAATAAAATACCAAAAATGTCAAGAGAAAAAGTCCATCATGTCATAGCAAAAATATGTAAACATGGAGGGATTTTCCAAAACACAAAACATTCAAAAAGAATTCTACAAAATATGTAGCTAATCTTAACATTTTGATCTTGCCTGTAAATTGGCATGTCTCTTGTAACACGTTTGTTATTTGGGAATAAATTATTATTATTATTATTTGGCATTACGGTGTAGTGCCTCCACATTTATTTGCATCCGCTTACATTTAATTTGCTTAAGCCCTTTCGATTAATTTATTTAACCTAGCCATTCGCTTAGCAACAACTTGTATGTACCATTGTTATTTTTTATTATCTGCTTTGTATGAGCTTGTACGACTGGGCATTGCTTACGCCTACGCGCTTACTCATCCTTTTCGCTTTAATGTTAATCTCTTAATTTCCCCATGAACTCACATGATTTGTATCGCTTGCTTTTGACCTTGTCAATCATTCGTCGCTCTTATTCATGTGTGTGCATACCTATTTCGCTTGTCATATGTCTATCTTATTTTTATCGGACTATATATTCTTAGTCATACTCTATCTCTTTGAGTTGGCTCACTAGCCTTCTCCGATTCGCACATTCGCTCATTCACTTATTCGCTCGCTAGTCTGTCTGCCCGGTCTGTCTGTGGTCTGCTGTTATTAATTGTGGTGTGCTACAATAAACGTATACGATACTTGGAATTCATCTGCTGATTTATTAACCATCAGACGTCATTTGGGATAAGACAATCTGAACGAGCTTATTACGAAACGTAAGAACACGCAGTTATCGGCACACTCCAACGGCATTGTGAACATTGTTAAGTTACACATTTTTTAAACCATGAATCGACCAATGTTAGACCATCATTAGAAGAAACCTGGAAGCACTGGACGACCGTTTCGTCCTAGTATGGGACTCCTCAGCAGTGCGCATCCACGAATCCTGCACCCCGCAGGATTCGAACCCAGGACGTTCGGTATTGTGCGCGAACGCCCTAACCGTTAGACCACTGAGCCGGTATCTAACGGTCTTAATGTCTAACTTGATCTTCACAACCCCGTAATGCAAATTGCCTGTGCTCACTAGTGACTAGCTTCGTGAGGAATCTTCTCCGAGTTCTAGTGGGAAGTCGTGACCAGTGAAGTTTAACCTGTTCGGGTGTAGGCAGCTTCTACCGAAGACTGTGTATGAGGTTGCGCAACTCCGTGAATTTGATCAAGTCAGGCATTAACACCGTCAGATACCGGCTCAGTGGTCTAACGGTTAGGGCGTTCGCGCACAATACCGAACGTCCTGGGTTCGGATCCTGCGGGGTGCAGGAATCGTGGATGCGCACTGCTGATGAGTCCCATACTGGGATGAAACCGTCGTCCAGTGCTTCCAAGGTTCTTCTAATGGTGGTCTAACATTGATCGATTCATGGTTTCAAAAAATGTGTATTATTATTATTATTATTATTAATAAGACTGTGCCATGGTCACTACCTCCTAATGGTGCGTGGACGTGAACATTCTCAACCAGTTCTGTGTGATCTGGCCTCTGCGGGTTTTTTTGCCTGCGCGGTTGGTTCAATCATATCTTGTGCCAGAGGTAGTTGGCCGGATTTAACTATCAGTTTTGTGCGTTAATTTCGGCCTCCCTGCTGTTGTCTCACAGATCTAGGTCGGCTCTCGCAGCATCTTATGTGGCTAGACTGTACTAAGCTTGTAGTGTTTCGGTCAGGTCTTCCCGGTTCCTAAATGTTACAGCCATCAGGCGTGGTGACTTGATAGACGTAAGGTGTGACGGGCGGGGCAACCTGGAAATGCAAACTGCCATCGTGGTGTAGAGGGATAGGCTACGCGATAGCCATCGCCTTTGTTGCACATCATGCTCGTGAGCTTCGTCCGGGTTACCACTGATGAGTTCGAAGATACCGTAAACTACCATGGTGGTCTGTTCTTGGGTGTCTGGCGCAGTTCTAGCCGCTGCACGTACCGACCACGGCTTGTCATTCCTGATACGAATCAGCGAGGACAATTTGACCGATGGTCTTTGGGATGAAAGGATTATGTCTTCAGCAAGTCGGTCCGAGTCAAGAGTTACCCTCATTGTAGGGGGTTTTCCTTTCGATGCATTTTGGCCTTTGAAAAGGCGGCATATTTTGGCTGGGACGTCGCACATTCCGAGGGCTGAGCAGAGTTTATCCCACTGCCGTTTGTCAAAGGCAGCCCTACCTTCTAGCAAGCTTCCGATACTGGGACATTAAATAAAATAAGTGAGTTAGATCTGTCGTCCCTGATCTTAGGTGGAAGCCGCTTGTGAGTGGGAGTGTTGCTCTTTCCCTACTTCACGTTCACCCACTGTTTTGTATTGCTAACAGATGTTGGGGGGTTAACAACAACCGGAATTTTTGTCGGTGTTAGGCAGGGTTGTGGTAGCCTTGGTCAATTGTTTTACTGGTTTAGTGCCAGGCAATTTTGGTTTGGCCGTTTGGAATTTAGGGCTGATTTCGGGTGCGACCTGTGCCTCAGAAACTCTACACCGAGTGCAAATGTACCAGAACCATGGGCATGAAACCGTAGTACTCTTTAGGTACTGTATTGTCACAGTGACAATGTACCCATGTACTTCAGAAGTTGCATTCGAAAACACGGTCGCTGATTTTGACTGATGATGAGCAGGCAAAACAGTCGTCCTTATGCTGTTTCTGGGCGTTGGACTGTGTCGACCGAGCTTTGGAGCGTCTTTTTCTCCTATTCTTAATTAGCTTACTGGTCTTTTAAGGAATAGGAGTGGTATCTTGTTTCCTCTGTGGTGTCTGCGTTGAGTGATCTAAAGTATGGACACTGAGAGGCGTAATATCGACTGATTGTTTGGGTTTTTTAACAACCAGTTCGCAAGATATTGGGATTTTCGATGCACTATCGACCCTGGGGTTTACGCCTCTAAAAATTTTCCTGCTTAATAAAGTGTAGAATGTACTAGCGACCTTATTACTTGATATGATACCAGGAAAATTAGGAGGCGAATACCGAGATAATTAGAATACGAGTTTTTAGATGAACTTTCTTGATTTACTTAGACGAATGAGTCACATAAATTCCTATCAGAGTCCTTGGAATTACCGGACAAAGATTTTTATTTTATTCAAGATGTAATAATTGTATGATATTAAAACAAGCGTTATGGAAACATGTTTTTAAAATGTTAGGTTAATTTTTGAGGATTTTTCAGTTACCGATTAAAAATCATCACTGATTGAAGTTTAAGTAGTAAATACGATAATTGACCTTATGGTTTGCAGTGTGTATCAGTATGTTGATCTAGAGTGGCTTGTCTTAGCTTTCAGACAAATTAATTAACTTTTTTCACTCGACTTTCTACCTTGTCTTTTATTTGCTTACATCTTGTTTGCTTTTACTTGTATGTATATGTGAATAGTTACTTCGAGTATTACATGTCTAGTATATTATTGCCTGACCATAAATACTCATTCGCGTCTTATCACATTGAGTTAGTTCACTTACCATCTTCAGTTCGCTGCATTTGCTTCCACATTTTGTATTCTCATGTCTATCTGCATGAAAAATGGCATGCAGAAAATTCATTCGTAAAACTATATTTGTCTTCATACTACCACCGTTGCATAAACGGGATTCACCTAAGTATGATAAACGAAAATGATAAGAAAGATTTATTTCATAGTATATTGAATTGTTCATAAACGTTATTATCGGATTGTCGTGCCACTAAATTGGTGAACCCTACTTCAAAATAAACGTATTCATTGGCCTAACCAAGAAAAATTATTGCTAAGTCCCATATAAGTTTCCTATCAGACCAAGTTATATTGGGCTCTCAGTTTAATGAAATATTTTATCAGAAGCATACCTGTAATAAAAACAGAATGAAGGACTTCGTAGACGCCCAACTTCGAGATCAGCAGGCTGGTTTTCGTAAGGATCGATCATGTACTGACCAAATTGCTACATTACGGATCATTGTGGAACAATCAATCGAATGGAACTCACCACTCTACATCAACTTCATCGACTACGAGAAAGCATTCGATAGCGTGGATAGGAAAACACTGTGGAGGCTTCTCCGACACTACGGTGTGCCTGAGAAGATAGTTAACATCATACGGAATTCTTATGATGGATTCAACTACAAAATCGTACACGATGGACAGCTAACAAACTCTTTCGAGGGAAAGACCGGTGTCAGACAAAATCAGGATTTTCAATACAAATGTCAAGATAGTTCTACTGTATGGAGCGGAAACTTGGAGAACTACCAAAGCCATCATCCACAAGATACAAGTGTTTATTAACAGCTGCCTACGCAAAATACTTCGGATTCGTTGGCCAGACAGTGTCAGCAACAACGGACTGTGTGAGAGAACAAACCAGATTACAGTGGAGGAGGAAATGAGGAAGAAGCGGTGGAAGTGGATAGGACACACATTGCGGAAAGCACCGAACTGCGTCACGAGACAAGCCCTTGCATGGAACCTTGAAGGAAAAGGAAAAGAGAAAGGCCAAGGAACACATTACGCCGAGAAATTAATCCGTTTCCTACCTCAAGTGTGACTGACATAATGAGTTTACATTTTTTATATTACCTTTTCATGTTTTGCTTAACCAACTTTTATTTAAGTGTTCTTTTTACTTTCATCTTAAATGTTTTCGACAAGTAAATATTGTTGCAAACGTTCCCTTAACACTATTATTAGTTAGTTGTTTTGAAACCGCCCGTCCTCTAAAGATGTAACACTTGAATTATTGTACTCATAGAAAGTATCAAAATTAATTTGGGTTTCACTTAGTGCAACATATCCTTCTTCCTGAATTTCTAGATCTGTTCTATACTTCCATCATAAATTAGGTTTATCTCCGATAAGAAAACATGTATCTCGATTAACCATTTTCTTTTCATTCGTCTTTAATATCTTCTTAATATCAAATAATTTAACTGGAGTTCACTGGACCCATCTGCATACAACTATCAGTCGGCAAACAAACCGAGAGTTTGTAGTTCATTAAATATTCTAATTTCGCTGACTTCAAATGTTATTACAGGTATTACTTACTTACTTATGCCTGTTACCCCCAATGGAGCATAGGCCGCCACCAGTTTTCGCCAACCAACTCTGTCCTTGGCTTCCGTCTCCAGTTCTATCCAATGTTTGTTCATTCCTCTCATGTCTTTCTCTATTTCTCGGCGTAATGTGTTCCTTGGCCTTTCTCTTTTCCTTTTCCTTCAAGGTTCCATGCAAGGGCTTGTCTCGTGACGCAGTTCGGTGCTTTCCGCAATGTGTGTCCTATCCACTTCCACCGCTTCTTCCTCATTTCCTCCTCCACTGTAATCTGGTTTGTTCTCTCACACAGTCCGTTGTTGCTGACACTGTCTGGCCAACGAATCCGAAGTATTTTGCGTAGGCAGCTGTTAATAAACACTTGTATCTTGTGGATGATGGCTTTGGTAGTTCTCCAAGTTTCCGCTCCATACAGTAGAACTATCTTGACATTTGTATTGAAAATCCTGATTTTGTCTGACACCGGTCTTTCCCTCGAAAGAGTTTGTTAGCTGTCCATCGTGTACGATTTTGTAGTTGAATCCATCATAAGAATTCCGTATGATGTTAACTATCTTCTCAGGCACACCGTAGTGTCGGAGAAGCCTCCACAGTGTTTTCCTATCCACGCTATCGAATGCTTTCTCGTAGTCGATGAAGTTGATGTAGAGTGGTGAGTTCCATTCGATTGATTGTTCCACAATGATCCGTAATGTAGCAATTTGGTCAGTACATGATCGATCCTTACGAAAACCAGCCTGCTGATCTCGAAGTTGGGCGTCTACGAAGTCCTTCATTCTGTTTTTATTACAGGTATGCTTCTGATAAAATATTTCATTAAACTGAGAGCCCAATATAACTTGGTCTGATAGGAAACTTATATGGGACTTAGCAATAATTTTTCTTGGTTAGGCCAATGAATACGTTTATTTTGAAGTAGGGTTCACCAATTTAGTGGCACGACAATCCGATAATAACGTTTATGAACAATTCAATATACTATGAAATAAATCTTTCTTATCATTTTCGTTTATCATACTTAGGTGAATCCCGTTTATGCAACGGTGGTAGTATGAAGACAAATATAGTTTTACGAATGAATTTTCTGCATGCCATTTTTCATGCAGATAGACATGAGAATACAAAATGTGGAAGCAAATGCAGCGAACTGAAGATGGTAAGTGAACTAACTCAATGTGATAAGACGCGAATGAGTATTTATGGTCAGGCAATAATATACTAGACATGTAATACTCGAAGTAACTATTCACATATACATACAAGTAAAAGCAAACAAGATGTAAGCAAATAAAAGACAAGGTAGAAAGTCGAGTGAAAAAAGTTAATTAATTTGTCTGAAAGCTAAGACAAGCCACTCTAGATCAACATACTGATACACACTGCAAACCATAAGGTCAATTATCGTATTTACTACTTAAACTTCAATCAGTGATGATTTTTAATCGGTAACTGAAAAATCCTCAAAAATTAACCTAACATTTTAAAAACATGTTTCCATAACGCTTGTTTTAATATCATACAATTATTACATCTTGAATAAAATAAAAATCTTTGTCCGGTAATTCCAAGGACTCTGATAGGAATTTATGTGACTCATTCGTCTAAGTAAATCAAGAAAGTTCATCTAAAAACTCGAAAAATGTAAAGATGTCATTATTAACTGGGAACTATGATATCCAATTCATCAGAGAGATATTTTGCTAAGCCTCTCTAACATTTTCAGATGACATTTTACAAAACTGTATTGAATCTAAATTTTGATAGAACAGTGAGAAGACGTAAAATATCTAAAAAAAATGTGATGTATTTGCGCTATGTACATTTCGAACAATCAAGTCAAATATAAACTTGTCAGGGCATTTCATATGAAGATTAATCAAAGGTCAATTAAGTAAAAGTTCAAACAGACATAAGGTGATCATTGTAAATGAAGGTGAGAGAAAATTAACGTGATACAAATAGAATAAGAAAGGGTAGGAAATTATCATATTACCCTAATCCATACAATGGCTTAAAGATTACCAGGGTAAATTCAAGGTTATAACAAATTGTTTCTGTACACGTAAGGGAAGTTTTAATTTACAAATAACCAAGGCTTCCATAAACCTCAAAATTCATTCTTCAACGTTTCTATACGATGTTTTGAAGACTGTCTTGATATTAATCTTATTCCCTGTCTCGATTAAGTGTTTTCCGATCGATGAACATGGTTTTCTGTTCCCTACGTTTATTGGCTCATCTGAAGTTAACTGATTTTCTGAGCCACTTTGGAACATGTTTCACAACCCTTGATTGCAAAGTTCGATTGTTGAGACGGTCAAAATATTTGTAGCTCAGATGGATGATTTTGGTGGGTGTTTTGTTCTCTGAGCTGGATGTTCTGGTTGTGAAGCTTTCATTGTTCTTCTGAAGTCCGATTACTCCTTCCCTATGTGTCTGTGTCCATACAAACATATAAACTGATAACTGCAATGGGATGTGATCATTAGAGCAATATTTAAGACTATATGGAATCAAAAGAATGCATCAAAAAAGTTTTGTATATATGTGGTGTGAGCTACTTATAAGTAGTATATGACGTGAGTGTCAACGTAATGTCTGGCAGCAGAAGATGGGGGAAGATCAAGAAAGGAAGAGTTAGAAAACAATGGAATTTGTATGAAACGCATGAATAGTGACAATGGATTGATGTTCTGCAGCAGGAACAGTCCAGTTCGATATGATGGACTGATATTTTGCAAATTAAATTAAATTACGATATGGTGTTCCGATTTTACTGAGTAACTCTGTAATTTCCGTTAAATACAATTCGGTTGCCTCACCTGTGTTCTCGTTCACTAAATATATGCCTCAATGTTTAATGGCATTCATTATATTGTTCTATTCCCAATAACCAATAAAGTTTTCAGTTATAATCATTTACTAATTACAGTTACCGAGTTAATATATATTTAATTGATAAATAAAATTCAATCTAGACAATACAACCTTGATCATTGTCTAGTTAATGATTTACACATATAGTAGCAGCCTGACTAATCAATAACAATTTAGTATGCATCAGTGAAATAAACATTTGATTTGGATATTATAAACATTCTATGAATAAATAAAATTTTCCACACAAAAATATTCCTTAAGAAAAATTCAATATATACACATTTCACGGACTTATACCAAACAAACCAAAGTAACATGAAATATCAATGGTTAAACAAGCTTGAGATGACCATAACTTAAAATACACATTTGTTCATAAATTACACTCTACTTTCATGTAGTTTACATTTTCAATTATGCTTTGGATTAGAATCTTGAATCAATTTCATTACTCTTGTTATTATTATTTTATTGTTATCAATCTATGTCATTTTTCACATACTGGTTGTTCAAACATAGAAGTAAGTATTAGTTATTGGATAACAATTTAATATACTTCATGTATTCAATTGTCAATAAAGAAAGTAACTTACAATGAATTAAGTAATGCTTCAAAAAATTATTATTATTATTATTATTATTATTGTCAAATATTTGTCTGCTAAAATAAGCCAAAAATAAGCAATTTGTATGGATAAGAGACATGTAGGTCAAAATATTTGAGTTACGATTTCTAATAATGAACGATTCATATGAACTTTTGTTATCGTCTTCGAACTACTATCAGTACACTTGTCTTCCTACTAACGATCATAGATGTCGCCGCAGCATTGCTCGTATATCGTGGGACAACCGAGTAAGCAATGCAGTTTTTAGGAAACGGGTCCTAGGTAAGGATGACAAATCAATAGATGAAGCATTGAAACTTCATCAGTTGAGGTGGTTGGGACATGTGTTACATATGCCTAACCACCGACTGCCTCAACGACCTATGTTTTGTGGTGTAGGAGTAGGTTGGAAGAAAGCTGGGGGCGGCCAAACTAAAACATGGCAGAAATACATGAAGTCACTGATAAGTGGACTGAGTCATGTTGGTAGATGTAGGCTACCTGATTGGGGTCCGCGAGACGATAGTCACCGATGGTCAGAGACCTTGAACGACATGGCTCAGAATCGTTTGCGATGGCGCAGGTGCATTCACTCTTTGTGTGCTTTTTAATTCTAACCTTCTGAATTCCCCATAATCTCTATCTTTCTCCTTCTAAATTTTTCTGACTGAATCATACTTTTTGAATCATAATCTTCTCCATTGCTGCTAATAATTCTACTATGACTACCACTCTTGGATTTGAACTGACAGTTACGTCTCCGTGCTGACGCAGTATGGCAACCTGAACCGATGTACTTATGTACGAAGTTCTGTGTTGTATCTGTCTGTCTTCTTACTATCAACTTGTACTTTTACCTATTATGTGTAGTGACGTAATCTATTGCATTATGATTATAGACTCATACATACATTGCTTTGATTGGTGTCTAACATTTTCATCTCAATATTCATGTATATTACAGTATAACGCCTGATGAAGATCTAATTGAAAACAATCATGTTCACTTATATCTGGATTGTTCTACTTTTCCCAATGGGAATCTTCAATTCACTTTAGTCAGTGATCACCTGAAAAAAGACTAAACTAACTACTCAAAAAAGAAAATCCAGGCAACAGCATTACAATTTATGAGCGAAATGAGTCAATAATATGCATACGAACAAATGAAAAGGTCAATTATTGTGAGGAGATTATTGAAATTATTCCCTAAAATATTTGCAAAATCAATGATCCATAACTAAGATTAACTAAAATGAGTTGAAATTAGTAAGCAAATGAAATTAATGAGTAATTCAAAATAAGATTGAAATTCAATCAGAGAGAATGTTAACAAACGGTTTCTATTTACAGAAGTTCAGATAAAAAGTGATTAAGAACTAAAAATGTTCAGTCAGTCAGACAGTCAGTTGCAACGTAGAACTTCGTACGTATGTACATAAGTCCATGTTGCCATACCACATTAGCACAGAGATGCGAATGTCAAATCAAATCCCATAGTGATAAAGATAGTAGAGGTATCAGTGGTAATGAAGAAGACTAGGGTTTGAAGATATTATTCAAGAAATATAATTCAGTGAGATAAGGTTAGAAAGACAAAGGTAGGGGTGCTGACGAATCCAGAAGATTAGGATTTGAGAGAGCACAATGAATGGATGCACTTGCGCCACTGCAAACGATTCTGAGCCATGTCATTCGAGGTCTCTAACCATTGACGACTATCATCTCGCGGACCCCAATCAGGTAGCCTACATCTACCAACATCACTCAGTCCACTTATCAGTGACTTCATGGATTTCTGCCATGTTTTGTTTTGGCCGCCTCTAACTTTCTTCCAACCTACTCCTACACCACAAAACATAGGTCGTTAAGGCAGTCGGTGGTTAGGCATATGTAACACATGTCCCAACCACCTCAACTGATGAAGTTTCAATGCTTCATCTATTGATTTGTCATCCTTACCTAGTACTCGTTTCCTAACGGCAGCATCGCTAAATCGGTTGTCCCACGATATACGAGCAATGCTTCGAAGACATCTATGATCGAAGACTAGCAACCTACGAATATCTTCTACTCTTAACGGCCTTGTTTCGCCTCCATATAGGAGAACGGAGCGAACTAATGTGCAGTACACCCGTCCTTTAGTCAGCGAACGGATATCACGCCTACGCCATAAACGGCGTAAATTGGCAAAAGCACATCGAGCTTTCTGTATCTGTGCTGAGATTTCGTCAGTCACCTGGTAATCAGCACTGATGAGACTCGCAAGATAAGTGAAGTGATCAACACGCTCGACTACTTCACCCCCTATCACTAGTTCAGATGCCGATGCAACCCAGTCTTGAAACAACATTTTGCATTTCGAGGGGGAAAACCGCATCCCGAACATGCTTGCATTGTTGCTCATGGTAGTCAGAAGACTCTGCAGTTTGTCAGCGTCTTCACCAAGTAGGACTATGTCATCGGCATATTCTAGCTCAGTAAGCGATTTTCCTGATAGAAGGTCAACCCCTGAAAAATCTGACGAGCTTAATGTTAACTCTAAGAGGATGTCTACGACAAAGTTAAACAAGAATGTAGAGAGTTGACATCCCTGACGGACACCACTTTATGTAGTGAATTCCGATGACAGTTCCCCATAAAAAATGGTCGCGATACCTTTATTAATTGTAAACGTTGTTAAACGTACAGACAATTAAACAGCATCCACAACACTTCTGTCAATTGTTCTAGCTTATTTCTGGTTCGACTAACATTTATATTGGATCACAGTATTCTAAAATATAATAAAAGATTATTCAAATACTAGAATCTTTCGTTTACGGATTAATTTAGTAAGTAAGTAAGAAAATTCCACTAACTAATACTTGTTTAGATATCAGCTAAATTTTATTCTGTACTAACTTTAACTTTACCTTATCTATTTTTGTACAACATTTATTCCTTTTGCAACTGACTAAAATGACTGAATACTAACTTATTTTTAATGATAAGAAGTTTCATACTCTTGGTTTATTTTATTTCCAAGATTTTACTTAGTCTACCTACTTTGAAAAGCATTCTCATTCGGTGTAAAAGCCCGATTCACCTCAACAAAACCAAGCTTAGATAAAAAAAACTCTATCCTTGCTCCTCTACAACGACACAAATATACCAAAGTATCCGAAACTTCAAAGTCAAAGTCTCCTAGAACTCATCGATTTATGCTTAACAACGTATTTTCGACTCAACATCAGCATCTACGAGTAAACCAAAGGAACACTAATAGGATCATCAATATCAGGACTCATCCCAGAAAATGTGATGCAGAGACTAGAAGCATCGATTTTACCAGTGATCGAGTCATAAGTGTGGATTCGCTATATAGACGGCATATTGTGCATTGTTAAAAGAACAATCTGGAGAACACTTACAATCGGATCAACGTCTGTAGGATTTAATTTCTCCTACAGATGTACTTCTAGAACTGTAAACGCAATATTGGCGAACACACAGAGTCTGTGGGAAAGCTATAGTCAATAGAAGACCAATTCGGTTTTAAACTTTATCTTTTTCTAAACATAAAATTAATTAGATTAGTGCAATAAATAGGGAAATTACGGTTATCAAGTGAAACGAGTAAACATACCGACCAATATAGCTTGTCTTATGAGAATGAATAAAACTATGAGTCACATCCATATAATAAGATAATAATGCCCTTCAATTAGTAGATCATTTACAACAGAGATAGTTTGTGGGCACATCAGACTAGATCACGTGGTGAACGCTTGAATTACAGTTTCATTGGTTAGTTATAGCATAACTACAATTAGTTATGGAAATAACTAACAACGATTTCGATGACATGAAATTCACAATGGGAAAGGCATCAAACAACGAACTACCATTCCTGCATATGCTAATCACCAGAGCAGACAGGGAAACTGAAGACTCAAGTATATCGGGAACCAATCCATACAGGTCTATTTCTGAACTACGGTAGCAACAACCCAGAAACTCACAAAATCAACTGCGTGCAAACGTTATTCAAGAGATCCAAGACACACTGCAGTACACATGAAGCACAAAAAAATTAGGTAAAATATATAAGGACTATCTTCCTAAATAAAAGGCTATCCAAGCAACTTCATCAAAAAATATCAACCAAAATCGTCAACAGAAGCGAAACCAAACACAAGAACCAATAAACGGATCATCCTACCAAACATAAAAGACATATTGGAACATACAGCAAGACTATTGAGACCATTTGGAATAGGTGTGGCACACCAACCAACAGAATCACTTCAATCAATCCTATCTAGACCAAAGGACAAAATGACATAGGAAGAAAAACCAAGTATCATCTACAAAATAAATTGCTCATACCGTGAAAAACACTACATAGGACAAAGTGGACTTCCTCTCCAGCTTCGTTTGCGCGAACATCAATTAGCAGACAGACGCCACGACAATTCTTCGTTTATATCAATACATACTGACAACTATAGATATGAGTTTGTTTGGAACAATGTTGAAATATTGGATAGGAGGAGCATAAAGAACAATACAGAATTTTCAGAAGCTTGGCATTCAGGTCAATCAGCAATCAACAAACACATCGAGATTGACCCAATTTATCAAGCGATCAGAAAAATCAAAGGCAAACGTAAGATCAAGAAACAGATCACAGGGGGATACATTAAAAATAAAGGAGCAAACAACGACAGGTTTAAGGTTAACAACAACCAATCAAGATCGAGGTTAACAGAACAAGTTACAGGTTAAAAGTGGAGAAATTAGAATACTTTACTTCTGTCTGAATTTCGTGTTGATGTTGTTCAGCTGAACAATGAAAGCTCCACAACCAAGACATCCAGCTCAGAGAGCAAAGCTTTACCACAATACCAACTTTTGTAATTCTATATTAT